AATATGGGGAAAAATTACTAATTAAACATGGGAAACAATAACAATATTAACAATTTAAAAAACTTTTTGTCCTCACACCAGTTGCTTGTCAAGATGGCTGTGTCCATCTCCTCTCCTCTAATTTCTTTAATTTAATCAATTGTTTTATAATATGTGAGGACAAAAAGTTTTTTAAATTGTTAATATTGTTATTGTTTCCCATGTTTAATTAGTAATTTTTCCCCATATTGATAACCAAATGTACCATTTTAAAATGTAATTTTCAACCACCTTTATATGTTCTCTTAAACGTAAGCTTGATAATGACCTTCGGGTCGAAACTATAGTCGCTGTCACCTAATGCCTTTAATCTAATACCTGAAATAATTAAAAGAAGTATGGGGAAGGTTTAGTGTCTTTATCAATCCACTTAGTCAATATCACCCCGTTTTGAGTCGTTATAAGATGGATAGCTACCAATTGATTTCATCTTACCATCACTGTATCATGGGGATAACAAAAAAGAATAATCGTACCTATACAAAAAAAAGTGGGGTAAGAAGTTATTGGTACGGTCCTTGTAGACCTCAACATACTACAGTGTTGATCAACTCTAGAAAAAATACCTTACCGATTTCTTGAAAGCTGTAGCAAGTCAACGATCTAGATTGATTTTTTGCAGGTATGCACTTGGTTACAGCTGTTTTAATTCGATTAGTTCTCGAGTGGCGTCCTTGACGTATACAATGCATGCGCCATAAACGAGTTGGCGCCAACCAGGCGAACGCTATAGCATAGTAGATGTTGGTTCCTATTGACTAACCGGTTTTGGATATGCGACGTAATATTGGCGTAGATAGTGGAACACGTAAAAGGGGAAGGGTATTTAGAGCGCGTGTTGGAAAGATTCCGTGTTGGCGGCTGGACCAGTTAGGAGCGCGGGTCAAAAAAAGGTACAGTTTTTGAAAATCGTGGTGTGACCATCGTTTGAGGTCGCGGTACGGAATAAATTTAAATGAGCGTTCAGTTACCTTTCGATCAGCGCAAATCAGCTGACTCTTTGGCGTAATCAATTGTTTTTAATAAATTTAGAACATTCGCCGTCATTTTCAGAGATGCATTTTCAGAGATTTTGTACTTCACGTCATTATGCCCATTCCTACTGGTTTCTTGCAAAAATAAATTGAAGTTTAACACTTAATTACATTTACTTACAAGATTTGCAAACCCCACTTGCATTAAAAAAATTGAAATTCTACGGCACCAGCAAAAATTTTACTGTGACAATTCAACTCATATATAAAAAATCGCATAAGCCGTAGTGCAATTGTCACTTTGACAGCGGCAAAAGTTACCTGCAACTTTTCCAGCGACAAATGCACTAGTGGTTTTTTCACATATTCATTTTCGAACCAATAATCGCATTATCCTTTCCCATATGACTAGTTTGACGTCTGTCAATAATTGATTAATTTGGTGAATTTCTTGTTCGTTAAATTGTCCTGCCGAATTACACTCGAGGTTTGTATTTAAACCGAGTAAATTTGGGTTGTTGCAATTCAAATCTGTTTCCTTTTAGCAATTGAACTCGAAAAACTGTCAACCCAAAAATGCTTCACCTGCGGTGTCGCATTTTTATTAGTTGACAGTTTTTCTCGTCTAATTGCTAGGCAACAAATTTTCATTACCTAAACAACCCAAATTTACTCGGTAAAATACAAACCTCTTGTGCAATTATAAGTGACAATTCAACTCATGTATAAAAAATCGCATAAGTCGCAGTGCAATTGTCACTTTGACAGCGGCAAAAGTTACCTGCAACTTTTCCAGCGACAAATGCACTAGTGGTTTTTTCACTTATTCATTTTCGAACCAATAATCGCATTATCCTTTCCCATATGACTAGTTTGACGTCTGTAAATAATTGATTAGTTTGGTGAATTTCTTGTTCGTTAAATTGTCCTGCCGAATTACACTCGAGGTTTGTATTTAAACCGAGTAAATTTGTATTGTTGCCATTCAAATCTGTTTCCTTTTAGCAATTGAACTCGAAAAACTGTCAACCTAAAAATGCTCCACCTTCGGTGTCGCATTTTTATTAGTTGACAGTTTTTCTCGTCTAATTGCTAGGCAACAGATTTTCATTACCTAAACAACCCAAATTTACTCGGTAAAATACAAACCTCTTGTGCAATTATAAGTGACAATTAGTTTTTTATTTTACCAACAGCTAGCTCAGTAAAAACATGTTTTTAATTTCGTATGTCCCTTACCTTGTGGAATTTTGACCTCTAACCTCCTATTAAAATGTGATGCTCTGGTTTGATTGGACTCGAATAAATACGCATGTGAACTTAGTTAATTGAATATATAAATAAAAACAAAGGCGATTAAGTTCTATGTTTCTTGACCAGTTATTGGTTTGGTTCATAAAAAGAAATACAAAAAATCAAATGCTTGTCTCGTGATCATGTATCAATGGAACATTTTATCCTTATCTAAAATTCATTTCATTCTGTCATTCATTCATTTCATTTTCCACATCATAAATTACTGGTATATCTATTCAAAATAATATATATACCTACAACCTCTGAATGCTAAACAAAATTTTAATCCAACCAAAGGTATGGTATCACTGAAATTAAATACAATTTACAATGAAACAAAATAACCAAAATCCTTTGAATTCGATTCTTATCAATAAATATAATACAAAATCTGTTCTATTTTATTTTTCATTGTAGTCTTCCCTAACACCAATGCACTTAAGCAACAAATACGAATTTGATTTTAAATGTTTCTCCAAGCCGTATTCGAAATCTAGGAGTTTTCGCTACTTATATGTTTTTAGCCGAAGTTAAACTATTACTTTTTACTACTACTCTGATAAATTTCACTCAATAAATGCACGTTTTTGGTTCTTGAATTTCAATCGCAAATCTTCACCATAGATTCCTCTATGTCTTCACACATATTCGGGGATATTTATGGCGATGTAGCTAAAATGTCGACCGCGAATCAATTTGTTCACACACGGAGCTTTATACTTTGTCGCTTCCAAATTTGTACGTGTTCGCTGGCGAAAATCAACTTAGAATTTTCGTAATCATGCGAAAATAAAATTCTTACACACCACTAACTTCGTTTGCCGTAAACCCCCGTTACAACATAGTCTTATACAAGCTTTTTGTCGCGTAAGTGCACTTTGTTATTGCTCTTTGTCCATCAGGTTGTCCATGTATACTTTCGTTCACATTCGCTATGAAGCGGTATATGCAAATTTTCCGATGTTGAACAAAATTTTAATTTTAATTTGAGTGATTAAAATAAATCTGGGAAATTAAATTATATGCAAATGACACTTAATAACTCAACGCAAATATTGATTGATTTAATGCTTTGAGGGGGAGCTATTTCTAACAAATCCAAGACCCAATACCTTTGGCCGAGCGGGAAATCATTGGACAAAATAATCCGAATTGTTAAATTCCTAGGTACAATTATCAAGAGCATAAGCAGCTTCAAACTACTGGATGTTCGCTTTTTCCATAGACTTAGCAAATATCTGGCTTGTTCTGTTAAACCTAGCTACTGCGTTATTAAAAACTAAATCACTCCTTACTGTATACTACTCGTATCTGCATCCATTTTTATCGTATAATATCCTGATATTGTACAGTACATTATAGATATCGTCAATGATAGGGAGAAGGTCATTAAAAAATTTCTCGCATGTGGCGATAAATTACTGGTATTTATTTTTTGAAATCTAACCTGTTAACAGGCTGGGCATCGGCATAAACGATTGGGATTTCGATAATTGATACCTTTGCCACAAACATTGGATAAGCAGATAGTACATCCACAACTCAAAAAAATCCAATTCGTTTCATACGCTATCTCCAACAGTTTTAACAAAAACGTTGATGATGCCGGACCTGCAGTTCTGACACAGGGTGTATAGTGTGAAACTGCACCGTTCATATTGTCTCCTGCAAAATGGTTACAAAGGGTGCACCACATCACAACGTGTGGAACAATGAGCAGGTACTTTTCTTACAAACATGTAGGTCTCTCTTATAACATTACAAGTTAGTCTATTATTTGCATCTGAAGCAATTTTTAAAAGATTTAAAAGCCTCTTGCAAACAGTAGAAATGTCGGGATTTAAGTGTAGGTTTCATTCAGAAACTTTGGTCTGTATTATACTGGGTGGGCCAATGAAAAGGTACTATTTCGAAAAAGATTTCAAAAATTATTTTTTTATTAAATTTATTGATTTAAACCATTGAATTAATTAATTAATTTTTTATTCAATGTATAAGCTTAAACTAACAGAATGGATGTTTCAAAGTTGTTCATGACCCTGTGCGCCTTTTCTGGTTGCACTTTGATATTATTGTAAAACACTGAAACTGCATGCAGACAGTCCTCTCAGATGGGCGAGGGCCCTGCTCATAAGATGAGGGAAAAAGCAAATCCATCGACGCTCGCATTGTAGGTAGGTATATTAACCTCTTGATTTCGTCCAGCACTCCTAATGAAGAATTAGGTTTACGTATTTGTTTTTCTCATGTGATGCTTGCATGATTTACTGTGAATTTGATGTAATTGGAATTACCGTCAATACTCGGTGGAGAACTTGATGAGAAAACAAAACATGTTTATATCCAAATTTAGTCATTTGCCTACTTTCATCATATTTATTATCAAGGTAGGTTGATAACATGATGACTTATTAAACTATCACAATTACAATGTTTTTTTACAAATATTTTGTCAGGCTAAACACGTGCAGACGTACCTACAAACCATGTCAAGGTCTATGGAAGTACAAATAGAGCTGCTCCTGTTTTACAGTTTTTTTAATTTGTTTGCTTCTTCCATTCAATTATTAATTGATGGACGATAAGCTCAATTTTATGGGCCCCCTTTGGTTTCTAACATCCCAAGGACGAAAGTTGCAGATAATTATTGCTATTCATTTTTATGTTAAATAATATTATCAACCTTCGACGATTGTACTACACGTGCAAGTGATAAAAATTATCACGAACTATGGATGAGACTGTTTTTATTGCTGCACAAAGCACATCAACTGTTTAAAAACCGCAGAGAGTCTCATGGTGCCTCAGTTAGTAAACAAATATTCGCAGTTATAGAAAACCTTAGTTTCCTCTTCCTGTTATCTGTGTCTTTAAACCGGGCTTATCAGTACATTTATACTAGATAAAGTTCATTATCAGGGAGGCTATAAATATGGTTAAAAGTAAAACAATAGATTTAGTATCGAGAGAACGTTCGTGCGATTTGTATTTCGTCAAAGTTTTAAGCTTTAGGCTTGGTAAAGAATACGATTTTTCGTTTACAACAAATGGGTGATGCAGTGATAGTTGATTGTGCCGTTCGGTGTGTACATTTCGAGAGGAAAATTGTAAAGTTGGATGAACTAATCCACACCTACTTCAAACATCCCCAACACCTAATTACGTTGCTCAGCGCCCTTCGCCTTTGCGAACACGACCACAGCTTCGTTCCCCCATGGTAGTCAAAATTTAGGCGAATTGTGTTCCCGGCGCTCAAATTGATGGCCAAAAAGCGATGAAAGTGGAATTCTAAAGATTGCAAAACATTTTTTATCGATCGTGTCGAAGTTTTCGTGGTCAAAATGCCTATTTTAGCGTTACAGAGATCGTACAAGTACATGATGTACGCCACTAAGCAGCCGACGTTAAGGATCAAGCATGCCGATCTGAAGTGTAAGAATGGATGCGGATTCTTTGGAAACGCGGAATGGGACGGTGAGTTTTGATTTTTGCTTTTACTTATCGTCCAACAGTGATAGGCTATCTGGTGCTGATATCAGTATACACAATATTGTGTCATAGCCTTCTTTTTTCTCAAATTGTTTACTGGAGAAGTTTTCTGAATTTCAATTTTTGAATATTAGGTATCTTGTAGGTAAGACATTTGACAGATAGAAAAACCAAATTAATTATTGGGTAATTTTATATCAGCAGATCCCAATAGAACTATGGAAACAATAAAATGATTTTGAATTTTTGGAATACCAATAATATCAATTTTGCTATGTATTTTTAGAAATTAAGTATAATTGTATTTGGTCCCTGATAAATTATCGGACCATTAAGATTATAATTATATTTATAATGGAGAACCGGACACATTACCCAAGATAAAATAGATAACCTTAATAGTATTGTGGACTCCAGCGATCCTTATGTCAAACTGTAATTAGAAGATAGGGGACATGCATACGATAATGTTGCATCACCGCACGGCTAGCACCAACTTCATTTATTGTTACTTTTCAGGTTACTGCTCCAAGTGCTACCGCGATTCAATGCAAAAAGAGCGGGAAAAAAGTACAATCGTGCTCGGTAGACCAGAACAGAGCAAGTCGCGGATTCCGGGTTTTTCCAAATTCGAAGAGAAGAAGCGGCAACAAATCGATAAAAAAAATAAATACCTAAAAAATCTAACGCCAGTGTTTCGAAAGTCGTCCAGTGCCAAAGGTAATAACCGCCTCTTACGTAAATCGCAGAACGTAAACGTTTTTTTTCAGACACGCCGAGACACCACGAATTCCACCACGCCAACCCCGAGATCGAGAAGCTGACGGCCGAATTTATATCAAAATATGGAGTATGCGGCGAGCACGTACGCAAGGACTTCACGAAATGCGTAACCACGGCCTATACGAAAACGCGGGCCTTGCTCGACAGCAAACCGATCGAGGAGGTGGCGGAATTAGCGCAACAGTATTACAATATGTATTTAACCCGATTAAATACGAATAGTGTATATAAGGAGATCAATGGGGAGATCAGGTGCCAAATACTGGACTTTTTTGAGAAATTCGTAATGGTCGAATTATACAGGTAAGTCGGCATACTTGTGCGGTGAGTTTTTCTAAAGATCAATTTTAGTGCGCTTTTTTGTCCAACTTGTACGCACGACGAAGAGGAAGATTTGCGTATTCAGGAACGAATTCGTAAGTTAAGTTGGGTGACAGCCCACCACTTGGGCTGTTGTATTAGTGAAACGAGTATGGAAGTCCGTGACCTTGTCTACACTGCCATTACGGATTTGTTAGGTAAGGGCAGAGAGATACTAAAGGTTTACTTACCTAACAGTTTATAGGTATCGATTCGGTTAAAGCCCCACAAGACAAATTGTCATGTGTGGTGCGTTGCTGCAGAAGTGTTATGGAAGTTTTGCAACACTGCCAAGGCGGTCCAGTCAGTGCCGATGAGTTTCTACCCGCTTTAATATTCATAGTATTAAAAGGAAATCCCGCGCGGCTAAAAAGCAATATCCACTATGTCACTCGTTTTTGCAACGATAGCCGTTTAATGCAAGGGGAAGCGGGATACTACTTCACCAATTTGGTAAATGACCGCTAACGAACTAACGAGTTTTGTTTGACAACATATTTACAGTGTTGCGCTGTTTCTTTCATCGAAAATTTAACTGCCGAATCTCTTAATATGCCCGAGGACGAGTTCACAGCATACATGACCGGCGCCATCACACCAGTTAGTGCTTGGGAATCCGCTTTGGTCGCGTGCGAAAGCATGCACCAATTACGTGAACACCTAGCATGCCTTAAAGGACTCTCAGAACGTACCGATGCCGTTCAAAAGGGGACAGTCGAGCTCAAAAGCAACATCGAAAAATTCAAAGTAAGCATTAAACCGTTAGCTCTTTCATGAAAGTTCAACTTTGCGTACAGCTGTACCTAAACAATTTTTTGGAATTGTACAAAATCAATTATTTATTTCAGGAAGAAATCACAAAGTCAATTACTTCTATAATAAAGAAGACTCCTCTAATAATTAGGCCACGAAAAACGCCGATTTCTATCGATCGACAAGACTCGATCACAGACAACCTTCCATCACCTATTGCTCCAATCATCGTAACAAATGAAGGGGTCGCCGACACGAGTTTGCCCAACTTCTACATGCAAAATTTGCAACTACTCCCACTGGATTTAACGGCTGACGCGAAAACCAATCTAAAACTAGACATAACTCCCTGCTCACAACCAGCCGAAACGCTACAGCCCGGTGAGTTTTCATTTGATAATCGCAGCCTGTGTGGTTTGACGCCGGATGATGGGCGCAGTAGCTTGCTAGAACTCGCTAACGTTAATTACGATATTGACTTCTCCGATTTAAGTGCTGAGAATAGTGTGACTGAGGAGCTAACGCCCGATAAGAATAGATCATCCAGTTTTACGCCTGATCCCTTTAGCCCTGTGGGTAGTTCATGTAACATTTCGCAAACGCCACTAATACCTTCCGCCGCTTTACCGGACGCTTCATCAAATCAAAGTAATGAATTTGTGTTACCGTTCGCAGACGACGAAACCGAAGCTAGCAAGACGATATTAGACAAAGATGAAATTGAAACTTTGGCACATTTACCGGTACCGTTAATGCCGACCACTTCCAAATATTCAGGATTTTCGAAACAAGGTTCGCAGATTCCCAGTATTCCGTGTAATACCGGCGATCTCAGTTTACAACCGGTACCTAATGTAGATACGGAAAATAAAGTGTTAAGTTCTGATGTATGTTAATTTTGGGTTTTGCATGTAATTTAATATTGTAATTAATAAATTTTGTAAAATAGTCTTGTAAAGTTTTCTAGCTAACGATAAAAAGAGTTCAAATTCTAATTAATACTAATTGTTGGAATTTATAATTAAAAATGTTACTTTTCAATACAAATAAAGCTGTGATCTCTCGCTGTTGTAATAGTTTTCTCATTTCTAATACTCCAAACTTTTTCATTCATCTATAGTTACAGTTAGTACAGAAGAAAGAACGTTTTGGGTCGCGCAGGTGACGTCACGCCGTCGGCAATGATCGTGTACTTTCAAAGCTACAGATTACTTACCAGCGGCGGCGTAACGTAAATTATAGAAAAAACGAAGGTATTTGTACTTTTGTTATTTTTTATTAATTATAGTTATAATAAAATTTTTACATTTCTAAGTCTTGAAAAAGCAAAAATTCAAGAAGAACTCACATTTCGTACGCTTGAAACCAGGGTAAATCATTTACTTATTCTTGTCTGGCAATCCAAAACTGAACAAATGGCCTTTCTGGTACCATTGCAGCCCTCATCGGGGATCTTCACTATGAACTCCCCTATCAAGGAAAAGAAATCAAGCACGACATTAACCAGCTACAGCCGACCTCAGGAAAACAACCTGTAAAGAACTGTGGAGAACCAATCAAAAACGATCATAATGAAACTGGCCCACGACACGACGTCTGTTTTGAAACACTAATTTCACCAGTTATCAGTATCAATCCGGATGCCACTGACGCATAAGACATTCCCACAACCGTGTTCTAATCATCCCGCCAAGTTCTGACCGTACACACTGACACATCATATGGCACAATCCAATTAAAAGGAGGAAATGTTGTGTATTGGCGCGCACGTTATATATTCCAAGGTCGGTAGATTGAAACTCCCAAGCAATAACAATGACTGGCTCTACAGGAGACCAGTTGTTACAAACTGCAATAAAGTGGTGTGCAAGCGTTTCATGTCAGTCATGTATCAGGATGGTACATGTTAGTTTTTTTTTCAAGCACCCTGTACAAATGTTTACTTTATATTTGAACATAACCTATAAACCTAACCTAAAAATTATTGTATTTATTATATTTGCATTTTACTTCATTTAACAATGGTTGTTGAAGGATCGAATGAAAATGATCAAATTATACTAGCAACTGGTGGCTATGACCATACAATAAAAATATGGCAGACTCACACCGGAATTTGCCAACGAACGATGCAACATGCTGAATCGGTAACCTACACACTCGAAGATAGTTTTGCACTAACTCTGTCTTTAGCAAGTTAACGCCTTAGAAATAACGCCCGACAAATCGTGCTTGGCGGCTACGGGCTACCAACACATCCGGATGTACGATCTCGCTTCAAACAATCCAAATCCTACAGTCAATTACGAGGGTATTACGAAAAATGTAACCGGCGTCGGTTTTCAGGAGGATGGGAAGTGGATGTACACGGGTAGCGAAGATTGCAGCGCCCGCATTTGGGATTACAGGCTGAAGAGCCCTCACGCTGCGAAGATTTTTCAAACATCCGCACCCGTGACGTGCGTTTGCCTTCATCCCAATCAGGTGGAATTACTTGTCGGCGATCAAAGTGGAGTTATACATCTGTGGGATTTAAAAACCGATCACAATGAACAGTTTGTAAGTAGTTTGCAGCGAGTTGTTCGATAATTTTGTTAAAATGTGAAATTCTTGCATTGTTTTAAAATCCCTTATCCCCCCACATACCAAATCTGTTCTTTAGGGGCGGCCCAGTTGAAAGGGGATACTCTAAAGTATTATTCTTTAGATACCTGAAGGGGATACCATGATATTAGACATTGACGTCGATTCTGAAGGTACCCACATGGCTGCAGTGAATAGTAAAGGTCGTTGCTACATCTGGAGCCTTACCTTTGGTAGAGAAGGTGAGCCGACAAAAATGCACCCTAAACACAAGTTCGACGCCCACAAACGTCAAGCTTTAAAGTGTAGATTTAGTCCAGATTCTACGTAAGCTTCTACCGACTGGCAATACTGACTTTAGGTATCATGTTCCCGTAGGTTGTTGGTGACGACATCGGCTGATCAAACTGCTAGAATTTGGAAAACTTGCGATTTTACTTTACTGCAAGAATTAACGCAGGATAATCAAAGATGGGTTTGGGACGCTGTATTTAGTTCAGATTCCCAATACATTTTTACAGGTAGGTTTTTATGGTGTATGTGTTGGAGGGGGCGCATTGTTCATTGAGGTGTAGTAAAGAAAAATTAAGTACCTACCTATACAGAACGTTACAAATCAAGTTTTCTTGAATGAAACCCGGGTACATAAGAATTTAAATCGAGGGGCGGTTCCCATTGGCGCTTTCTATGGGCATTTTTTTTATAAGAATCTGTATCTGTTATCAGAATTTCCATAACACTATAGTCCGTTTTTAAACTAAGAGGAGTGATTTAAATAGCTCCCGCGAAAAATCTGCATTGTGATTGGCTTATACGGCGCCGTTTTTACACAGACGCAATTTGAGGATCTTGACAATTCAGTTGACATCTTTATTCGGTGTGTCATTTACAATTGTGTTATTCGTAGTTTATTTAATTTTGCCCTTTTCGTGTGTTTTAACTCTTGTTCAAATTTCAATTAAACAGTCAGTTCTTATTAGAACTAAACCGGGTACCTGTACTTGATTTTGTTGGTGCAAATACTTCGAAATATGGATTCCATGCCAAGTACTTAGTAAAGCGAACATTTCACCTGTAAAAAAGCGTACGCGTCTTAATTTGGCGCATTTATCGATCTCAGAAAAGCAGTTCATACTCGACTTATATAAACAGATGTTAAATGACGACCCTGGCACAAAGATGGTTACCATTGTTGCAAAAATTGATGAAGGCGCAGGTAAGAAACGAAATACACATTAAATGTTAATTTATCACACACACTTTTTTATATAGGAATTGCAAAATCCACGGTTTACCGAACAATAAAGGAGTATAAGAAAACGGGAGCTGTAACACCTTCTAAACGTTCGGGGGGTCGCCCACCTTTGGTATCGCAATTTGACGAAAGCATAAAATCATCAGTTCGTCAAATTATTCACAACTTTTTCTACCTCAATGAACTTCCCACGTTGGACAAAATCAATAGTCGTGAAGAATGTGTCCTTCATCTACTTGAACGTGACGACATAATAAGATGGAGACGAAAGCATTTAAAATCTATTAAACAATATAGGAACCAAGGACGAGTCATATATTACTTAGATGAAACATGGTTAAATGAAGGCCATACAAAACAGTGTGGGCTGATGATAACGTTCGTACTCGACGACAAGCGTTTGAGGAAGGATTGTCTACCGGTTTAAAAAATCCTTCTGGAAAAGGGAAACGTCTCATTATTTTACATGTTGGCTCTGAAAACAGTTTCGTAAACGAGGGTCTACTACTTTTTGAAGAAAGAAAAACATCCATTATCACGAAGAAATGAATGCGGAAGTGTCTGAAGAATGGTTTGCATCTTTCTTAGTGAAAATTCCTGAAAATGCTGTAACTTTACAATATATTGTAGCTAGCACCTTTTGATTTTATAAAATGATTGCATTTATGTCTACATAATAATTAAAATTTCTTGTCAACCAAATTGTGTAGGGTAAAGTGTATTAAAAAGCCATAAAAATGATCAACACTGCATTTTTTTATAATGTATGCCTTATGTAGTAGGCAACCCATAATGCACATGTGTACGTATGTATGATACTTAAAACAATTGCCCAAAAGTTACTAAATTTAGTAACTTTTTCGGATGTAAATCAGACTTTTCAATTTACTCCTCTTAGTTTAAAAACAGAGTATAGATGTAGAAACTACAAATACTACTTTCTTATGGGCGCCATATTGGATTTGTATGTTTATTTTTGATAGAGGACAAAAAAGGGAAATATGGCTGGTCACACTAATACTTTTAGATAAATAATTTCACTCAATAACTTCGCTAAAAATTCCATTTCAGCGCACCAAAAATGGTACGCAATGGTTCGCGAAAATCAACTTAGAATGAATTTTCCATGATAGAAAAATTCATGCACAAACAGTGTATCTACATGATCACTCGAGAAACCCAGCTTAGAATTTGCCCCTCTCTCACTTCTCTGAGTATTTAAATCTCTCCGCTAGAACCCAGGTTAGAACCTCCCTAAAACAGGACCTATTTTCTGAAGGAAACAATTTCGACTCGCGTACTTTAAACGAGGGGAACTCGCATTTCTATCACGTGCTCAGCTGTTCATAGAAGAGCGAAACTTAAGTCCGAAGAAATCGTGGCAATGCCCTCGATTTCCGGAATACATTTCTTGTTATCGCTGGACATACTTCCGTTCACGTTCGCCATGAAGCGGTACATGTGTAAATTTGCTATACTAAACAAATTCGAAAAAATACTTTTTTAATTCTCAAGCGACCACCCGTTACAAAGTCTATGAAATATGCCTTGATGTGGTCAATATTAACAGAATTCACAAGCTGCAAAACTTTTGCTTAAGGTTAATATTTGGAATTAGAAGACGAAGACGTAGTAGTCATAAATTGGTTGAGCTCAGATGGTTAAATATGAAAAATCGTTTCCTCTTGAATGCAGCCTTATTTCATAGTATCATAAATCATAATAAATGAAACACAGACTTGTATGTGAAAATTAAATTTCGAGCAGACGTGCACAATCTTAATTTGAGCTTCAAGGGATTGTTAATGTTGTATAATGATTTAAATCCACTATTCACAAAGATCTGCTTAGGGTTCAAACAAATACGTAGGTAAGTGATCCATTTCCAAATATTTATACCTGTAAGATTACCTTACACCTAATTTGAGGCAATTTATATTTATTCTTTTTTTCTTTGTAATTTTTTTTTGTGGATCAGAATTCAACATATCAAGGTTAAAAGAACAGATGGCGTTATTTTATTGTTAAGCTGAACTTCGCCTTGCACTAATTTTTTCTTCTTGTTCATTTTTGTTGGAAAAACAATCTTATATTTTCCTTCATTCGGTTTACCAAAATCGCATAACCGTTTTCCATTTCCTAACCCCCTATTCCTCGTCTTGGTCATCAGCGAGTGAATTGTTTGTTCCCTTTAGGTACCTGATTCTTGGTGTTGTCTTGTGAAATAATGTGCATAAAATGTACTTATTCAGCATCGGGATAATGTGTTTCACAGCTTTCACATCAATTTTTATTATCATTTGTAGAGAATTTTCGATTGTACTGGATCTTTTATAATAACCTCCCAATTATTGAAAAGAAAGAAAGAGAATAACTAGAACCATTTCGAAATATTCAAAAATTTTCAAAAAAAATATAACAATAAAACATATGAATATTGCACATCACAATACGCGTATTCACAGTTCCCTACCGATTTCCAAAATAAAAAAGTACTCGTTCCATTTAAAAAAATTGGGTGGCAATTGGTTTTGTGATTTTTATGAACACCAATGAATATCTCCTCGTCTTATTTTTATATTCAATATGGCGCTTAATGTGGGTGTAACAATGCCTTTAGAATGATAACAGACAAAATCTGGAGTCATTAGGACGTTTTTGGTGAGAGATATTTTTTTCGTGAAGCGTCATTTTTGTTCACTGAAACAAACAAAAATTTTTAAGCTGATGACTAACTTCAACCTCAAGTGTGATATCAAAACTATGAAGAATCCAACATTGTAGTAAAAGAAAATAGGTTTTGTCATGTGAAAAATCCATGTTTAATGTCTACTTCCAATGGGCTACTTGCAAGGTTTCGTTATTAGCCAAAAATTTGCACAGGTGGCAAGTACTATATACGCCATACATGAGGCGAATACTAATTTTTGAAAATGATCATTTGTTTTTAAACAAATAGTAAAAACAATTACTGGGAATCCCTTTAAATATGACGTCAGCTGCAAACGCCCTGCCATTGGTGCGACGTCACAACTGTGGTCGCCATATTTGTTTACATTCTTGTGTTCGTAGATCCAGGTTTGTAGAGGTCCGCCAGGTCAAGTTTGTTTTGTGTCTTGTGCGCAAAAAACGATAAAGGGTGCATGTGTGTGTGTGGGTGGGGACATGATAGAGAAAGTTCAAAAAAATTAGTACGAATAGTGTATTTTTAGGTGGACTAAAAATTTTCCACATTTAATCTCTTCAGGCAGCCCTTCACGTACGGACTTCGCTTCGAGCTTTGCCTGTACGAACATTGCCCAACATGAATTCATGCAAAGCTCGAACGTGAATAAGGGACCAGACGAGCAGCACTTTGTTTTGTTGCAACTTGGGTCGTGTTGACGTTTTCGAATCTGTCGGAAAACTTGGCGCGGCGCGAAGCTATGCGCGCTAAAGTTGCAATGTGTAGTTTGATTACGAGCATGAATACAAGGTTCGAAATAAGACAATATATTCATTATATTGGATGGAATGAGACATTAAAACTTTCAATGCCACTTTCAGAAAAATGTATTGTAGGCATTTTAACGAATTTAATTTCAACAATTAAGTAGGTATATATTTAATGTCAGCATATNACTGAACTTTTACACAGTTGTGACGTCACAACCATGTGCCGGCAAAATCTAGCGTTTAAAATGATTTCCAAGCGCGCGAAAAACTTATCTTTAGATAATTTAAAAGTTTGTGTGTTTAGGATTGTGAAATTTTGCATACTGGTATTTCTTTATGTTCCGCATTGATTTATCACATAAATAAAAAATGTGAAAGTGGCCCATTGTTCCGAAAGTGCCGCCATGTTGAAAATATTTGTCAGTGCAGAAGTTTTTAGAAAGATTAGTTGACCACTTTCCGAAAGACGACTGATTGAAGCTCGTTGTGAAGCACCCTGTATATACTTAATTTTCTCCATTTCAACCATGGTGTATATCTTTATTATACACCATGATTTCAACTGATTCAATCAAATTGGATAAATACTATAGACAATACCGTTAGGATGCCAAAGAGCAAAATCGGATGAATGCGTTTTTTAAATCGTTTCCAAAACCTTTTAAAAGGGACCATCTGTACCAAATTTCAACCGAATCGGTGGTTTTACTGAACCTTGTTTAGAAGAATCATGCTGCACACACACTCATTACGAACCTACAGACATTTTTTGGACCCTTGGAACCTTAAAAGGTCAAGATCCGGGGTGAAGTCTCAAAATCGAAATTTAAATTGATTTTAATATAAATTCCGAAAGGTAAATAGTTGAGCAAAATAAAGTTCAATGACTGAAAATAAAGTATGACAAAATGATGGCGCGTGAGGCATGGGAGGCGTTCAAGTTGAACCTTTCTCCAACACTTCATTTTCAAGATTTTGGACACAAGTTTTTACATCGTCAGTCCAGCCTGGTCCAGACATTCCAACCGCCCTTTGAAGAGTATATTGCGTTTGTGGGCACTCTCCTCCAACTCACTATTTTCGAGATATTCTCACTTAAAGTCTTAGCATCACCAATGCAACATCACGATAAGGCGTCAATGAAGAAGCCCTGATTGGTAGAAGGTGGGGAAATACAAATGACAAAAATGTATATTTTGTAAATTATAATAATATTGGAAGTTGTTATTCCAGAACAATTGACGAGATCTTTTGCAATCGATTTTTCACGGAAATATGGCCAGACCTCTAATGACAATTGCAGACACAGACCGCCACACAAATATTTGTGCCTTTTCATTTTAGAGAACAGAATTATCAATTTAGAGTACAGAGAAATCCACAAAAGTGGCTTGGTTGCTAGCTTACCCAGTAGGGGTCCTTGGTTTGTGAATAGATTTTAGTTGGGTTTCAACTACCACTGTATACTTCTACTTTTATTTAGAAGTTTGCTGCATTTTATACCGATCCTATATAATTGTAACAAAGTAATTCATTTGCAGCATCTTCTGATGGATGTGCAAAATTATGGAATGTGAAAAGTGGCCATATGGAGAGAGAATACGCTGGACATCAAAAGGCAGTGATCGCCCTAGCTTTCAGAGACGCTGTACTGTAAAATAGAAGAAAATTGTCATAGGACAAGATTCCAATGTTGGGAAGGTCTTAGAAACGAGTACACAACTGACATATGCATAACTTATTTATATATAAATTAAAAAATATGTTTAGAAGTTTCAACAAAACATTGTCAAATAAAATTTGTTGTTACATATATCACAAAATACTAATAAACAAATACATTTATACAAGAAACAGTTCTGTAAAGTACAAAGAAAACTAAGTACGTTAAAAAGTTAAATGCAATCTCATTAGTGCACGAACCGCCTCTTAATCTGCTTTTCTGATGGCACCAGTCCATTTTATACATTGTTAATGATTATTATGCTTAAGTATGATAACCAAAGTTGTACTAGAAAATTCGAGCAACTATGTCTATTAATGGAATTTCAATACCAAAACAATAAAAGCGCCGTGGAATGCATTAGAATTATTCCGTAACTGGTAAACTCTCAACCTCTCCCATTTCTGTAAACGTCTCGTCGTCCATCGTGTAGCTAACGATAAACTTTAAACAGATTTTAATTTTTTCAGGGTTCGCTATTAACATGACTTGTGTGACGGCCGAAGGTGGGAGGAAGGGATTATGCGACGGAAGTTCTGTGCCCGAAGGTTTTTGCAACTTCAACTTGCAGTTCTGAAATTGTGGACATTTTAAATACCACCTACCAGAAATTATAGTTACCTTCGGTACTACAGCTTGGAACAACAAATTTGAGAGAGGTAGTTCATTTTTACTAATCGTAGTGACAACAATGACGGTAACGTCTTCGCGAGGTTTATTCTTTCCAAAATGGAAGGTAACCGTAATTCCATTTTTCTCATCCAAAACAACCAGCGGCATTAACGAACTCGGCTTTATTTCTTCTAATTTTACAAACAGATCGTTTAATTTGAAATCTGTTTTAGTGAGGGATTTGCTTTCAATAATTGTCGACGTTACCTCTTCTTTGACTATTGGTTCCGACTGTTCTTTTTTATCACATGTTATGTCAACCAGGACATCGTCTCCATTTAAGTCTCGATTTTGCGACGCCATGCTGTCTGTAGCGTTGCAGTCCGTTTTAGTTAGGAAATTGAGATCAAGCTTAAAGGCGTCTACTAAGTCAGTTAATTTGCTTTGTTCGGTAAGCGAATTTGTATTTTTGTTTTCCAAGGAGGACTGTCTTGCTAGTACGTTCATCGACACTTTTTCTGTCACCCTTTCATAAGAAACGTAAAAATGTAATCTAAGAGAAAATGAAGTTGCTTACTTATTGAATTGTGTACTGCTTCTTTGCGAAGATAGATTTTCTTTCAGTAGGTGTTCTCCTAATGCATCCAATTCATCCAAAGCACTTGTTTTACTTGACTTTGCATGGATAGTTTCTGGAACAGAATTTTACTTATAATTAGCCATTTTCCAATTTCGCTATGGTATTTTTTTTAAACATCATCTTATTATCTTTATTGAAATTCTTTGTGCATCTATTATTGAGGCAAAGGAAAATAGCCTCTCGATTGGTCCTTTGAACGTAGACATGTACTAAATTGCATGAATACATTTTTTAGTCATGGATGTTGTAACGGGCTTATTAGGTTGAATTTTTTCGATTTTCCCGAAAAAAATAAGGAGGGATTTTTAAGCTGTAACAAATTTCCAGGTTCTTCCCAAACAAATTTTGGTCATAATGATGTAAAGAATTTATCTGGATGATTGGAGTCAACGAAATATGTCATTTTTACGCGAGGGTTTCCAATGAGCTTTTTGTTTGGCGTCTAGATACAGAACGTAGGGATAGCCTTACATCCGTTTTAAGAGCGATATAAAGTTACATTTCCTATCTGATCATGAACTAAAGTCAACTTCGAATTTGGTGAGCCTACAGGTTCTAGAAAGAGATAGGATTGATTAACAACCTTCGGGATTGGTAGCGCAAGGTATACTAACCAATAGAAAATTTAGACATCGCCATTTTGAAGTGTATTTGCCATTGTGAGTCTGAAAAATTTACTCAGTAATTAAAAGAGGGTTGTTGAGTTGAATTAACATATAGATGAAGTTTCTCGGCCATAGGGGAGAGATCGACAGATTTAAGTAAGAGAATTTAAATTTTTTCGGTGTTAAAATATTTTAAATTAGGTGATAAAACGGAGAGAAAGTTTAAAAGTCTTTAAGTGTCAAGTTACAGATCTAAATTAATAAAGACTTCGTTTTGACTATGGAAGCAAATGTGTGGATCGTGCGAATTCCTGATTCCGCATTAAAGAAAAACTGCGTCGGATTCGAATTAAATTTAAGTCATCTTTTAGTATTTTAGTTTTTTGCTTAAAAAGTAAACATATATAAAAAAATTTAAAATTCTGATGGAATTAAGTGGTAAAATTGTAACTAAAACTGTCGATAGTTTCAACAATAAACTTAGTGCTATTGGTCTCATTGTGGGAGAAGTCTTGAAATCATTTTTTATGTATGTGTTTAGTGTTTACGAAGAATGTTCTCCAATTATACACTGCACCTGCCAATGCATCAGCAAAAAAACAGACAGTCCACCATCAGAAATTCAATTGCACTATTGAAACATGAAAAGATTTGCTGCTTCAACAGTCCTTTTTTACACCTGTGAAGAAACCAGATCACAATTCCTCTAATTATAATGTATTTAAATCATACATCCAGATCGTCCAAAATGATTCAAATCCAAAGTGATTCGAACCCTCCCCAGCTCTGATGGTAGGTTAACTACTGGCATAGAGTTAGAGTTACTCTATGCTACTGGTAAAAAAAATGTATTGTGGCTAGCACAGATTAGCCAGAAATGAGAGTACATACAAACAGACTGACAAACTGATCAACATCATCGAGATTTTGGATTCCTGGTGCTTCAAAACGTGTATTACCGTCAAAAAAGTGGGGGGTAATTTTTTACCCCAATGCAATACCTCCTCCCTTACTAACATGCAGGTGCATTGTACTGTGGTGTCCTATCTACGCTGTTTTGAAAAGATTGAGACTTGGGGTTTTCGCGATCCTGTGCCACTTTTTTGTGAAACTTTTAATACCACACACAGAATGAACCTAGCTAGCTACGGTTGTTGCTCAGATACAGGGTGAAAACGAAAAGTTTGACTTTTTGAAAGAAAAATTGTAGGTGGAATTTGTTTAAATTTTCAAAACATTCATTTTAGAGTTGATAATATCATACTGAAGAATACATGGATACCAAATTTTGTCAAAATCAATTTTTTGGTATTCCCTGAACAGTTCATTGGAATCTCAGTAAGGTGAGAGATACAGTGTAGGTTAATGGGGGTAAAGTTGACCATTTTTGAAAAATCTTTGAAAATAACTGAGATATATATCACCGTTAAACTGAAAATGTCACATTTCTATAACACACTAGATGTAGAAGCTACAGGGTATCACTTGCTTATTGCTTATGGACGCCATATTGGATTTTTACGGAATGAGATAGAGAGGACAAACAAAGAGATTTATTTGGATGCATCGCCATCGTAGCCATGTTGATTCAGCAATATCTAGTTACCCGTGGATGTTTTATTAATTTTTTTTTTATTTTGAAATTGTTCTTGTAAATTTATGTAAAAGTATAGTGTGACACGTCATTGTTTTTCTTTTTTTTGTCATCTCTATAATTTCGTAAAAATCCAATATGACGCCCATAAGAAATAAGAAAGTAGTCGCCTGTAGCTTCTACATCTAGTGTGCTATGGAAATTCCGATAGCAAAAAACTCTTCGGGACAGCACTCTCTACAATGAATGTATTTAATAATAAATGTTTTTTTTTGTTCCGGTGTTGTCAGACCTGTAAACAACCGAATGAAGAAAAGTTAACGGCCATAATAACACACCCATAATTGAAAAATGCCCTAAGAGAAACCATCGGGTTGCTTCAACCCACATTTGGAACCAAAATGGGAAGGTTCAGAAAATGTTCCCACATGGGCAATATCTAATCATTTTTCAATTTTCATTACATATTGCATAAATATTTTATAGTTGTTTATACACGACACCACAAAACCTTATTTTAACGCAGACGCCTGAGAAGTCATTATAAAACTTCTGAAAATTCTGAATTTAATTTAAATGTCAAAAATAGCAACCTTAGGTCTATATCCACTTTCCATGGAAATTATATTGTGTTCTGTTCTGAACTTCATTTCATTTTGTGCTCCACATCCCATTTTTAATAAGTATGACAAACATTAGAATGCCATTAAAGTGATCACTTTCCAAGGACTAAAGGTTAAAATTAAAATGGCAATTTAACATCTGCTACAAGATAAAAGTATGAACCTGACTTAATTGACTATTGGCATCTGTAAAATGCATGTCAATGTATACATGTTTTGGAGTGTTTTTTGGGGGCTGTTTAGCTTATAAGTACCTACTATTAGATATGTGGGAGATGGGTGCATCTCAGAATCAGTACCTACCTTCCAAGGATGTATTTTTAAGTGTTGAAATGGGTTTGAGAATATCGTCTTGATCTGTAACAATATTTGAGGTAAAGATATCACATAATAAATCCATATCAGATTGAGATTCGTTGGAAACTTGACTTTGAAGTGCCACGTTATTCGAATTCGACGTAGACTCGTCGGCAAGATCTAACAGAGAGAGATTACTTGACTGAACTTCCTGTTGCGGAATATTTCCCTTTATTATAATTTCGGTGAACTTATCGAACACTTGACCTAACTCGTCGCTGGCATGTAGCACTTCATCTATAACGTTACAGGCACAGTATTACCTTTCTATCAATGTTTAAAAAACCTTACTAAGCATTTCTTCATTTTGTTGTACATCGGTTGCTAGTTTAAATACACTTGGCCTCAGTCTCTCACAACTTTGGTGTAGTTCTTTTATCAGTTGAAGTTCATCCTCGGAGGATATTCCTGGCTTATAGGAGTCTAGCATTTCATTTAGTAGACGGACGTTGTTGTGTACTGATTCGAGTTCGATTACCCTACGACTCTTTAATTCTGCCCTTTTGTCATCCTGAAGTAAAAAACAACTATGATTCGCCTATTTCATTTCACAGTTTTACTATTCTGAACTATCATACAAAGTATCTATAGTAATTCTATAGAACAAAATAATTAAGCAGTAGCCAATATTTTCAAGTACTTATTTGGTAAAATTCTTAGTCGTCGTATGTATGATAGTTCAAATTTTTTAGAATAAATGGTTAGGCGGTGTTCCGTACCTCCTTCACCATATTCTTAATCAATCGATTTGCCGCTTGCAAGTCTTCCGGATTTTTGCTTTGCAATAACTTTTGTAACAGCCTATTTTTTTCTTCGTCGTTAAATATAGAATTCCCTAATTTGCGTTCAGGTAAAGTAGCATTATCGGCACAAACACTTAAAGGTACCTCACGTATTACTCCCTGCTTTTTAAGCATATCGTACGCTTCCTTAATTTTAGTTTCCTTCGGATAATCTAAAGTCCATATGTATAATAATTGTAAAACCTTTTGTTTAATTGATATAGGAGTTTGGGAGCCCAAATATTTCGGAGAAACTAGTTTTATCATTTCATTCAAAAATCGAAACTTCCCAATTTCGGAGTGCAATGAGTTATTGCAACGTTTCATCGAGGTGTCTAGGATTGTAAGCGTGTGTAATGCTTCCGTTTCATTTTTTGAATGCATACGATTCGCCAATAGTTTAGCACCGATGGGAGGTCCTTCCTTTTCTTTATTTATCAAGGCACAAAACGCCTCGACAGCAGCAGTATCTACATTTTGACTCTGTGTGTTTGTAGCTTTATCTGAAAAAAACATAACCTAATTTGATAATTGAATTCACAGAAAAACTCTTACTAGATAAATTTATCATTACTTACGTAACAACGCATCTAAGCTTGTTGTTACAATATCCATGATTATCAGTTGAAAATTTAAACTTTTTCCATTATCCTAAACTTCAATTCGATTGACATTTCAACTGTCATTTGTCAAATTTATTTTTATGTTGGTTTTCGTTTTGGGCACAATTTGTTCTGCACAAAAAATTTTTTCAATCTGGAAAATTCTGGGCGTTTAGGATCCTACAGACCGAAATTTATAAGACAACGTCGAAATATTCAAGATTGGACTTGCACTGCTTCAAAAGCTATAGCCCTTTCCTTTTTCCTCGAAAATATAGGTTTTTTTGGCACATAACTTTTTAAGAAGGTACGATAGTACCTCAATAGTATCACAAATATTGAAATATGTGATCCAATCTTGAAAAGTACGAGACGTTATTGGATTCAATGAACCAAAACAGAAAACTTATACAAACAAGTTTCAATTTCCGAGTACCGCCTAGTCGTTTCTCGGTGAAAATGCAAAGACTATAGCCTTTCCTATAAATTCGATTGAAAAAACTTGTCTGAAATCAACCGGAAAATTTCTTAAATTTTTGAAATCAAAATCGATTTCAAACTGTCGGAAATCGACCGAAAAAATCTTTTTTCTTATAAGATTTTTGCCTGTAGAATCCAAAACGACCAGAACTTTCAAGATTGGGCACCTTTCCTTTTTCTTGGCATTTCAGTTACCAATGCCTGTAACTTTTCAGAATTATGCCCCCATTGACCGTGGACGCGAATTTCGCCCGCCACTGATCTTCGACCGTTACGTAACCACATTTGTCACATACGTAACCTATCTTTTTTGATAACAAAACAATTGACGTTTCAACCGTAGAAAATAGTGGAAAACTAGTTCTACATACTTCGCCAGGAGAAATGCGGTTAATACGATCGCTAAATCATGTACTGCTCTCTTCCCGTATTCGCCCACAGCAATCCTGTTACCGTAACAAAGTTCGAACATCTAGTGGTGGTATAGTGTCCGAACCACCTAGAATACCGTTCGGAATCATCGGAGTGATCTGTACCGTTGTCTCGGGTTTGCTGATTGGAGCTGCCATTAGTAAAAACATTGCGAATTTCCTAGAAGAAAACGATCTATTTGTACCATCTGATGATGACGACGATGACGATTAATAATACGTAATATCCTCCACTAAAGCTTTGTTAATTCATATTAGGTTCTTTTTAAGATGTGTCAGTAACCAACAATGTATGTTATATATTTATTTGCAATAAAGTTCGTTACAAACTTGTAAAAATACGTATCGAAAGATATGTTCTTAATTGTAATTATTTGCTTGTTGCACAATATACTTAAACAGTCATTTGTTATATGTACTTCAATAAATATGTAATGAAATATGTAGGTTTATCAAAATGTGCGTTGAACATAATCTTTTGTTTCATACTAAACTAAATGTATAATGCTTACAATAAGTCTGGGAAGGGAGAAAGGAGCAAATAAAGACGTTAAATGTTATGTAGGGACATTTTTCTATTAAACCAAATGACAGTTACAGCAATGATGTTCCCCAGTGAACAGTAATCTTAATGTAATGTTCGGGTTACAGCTCCTATCATATTGTAGTTTTGTTATATGAGTTGAACTACTTGTTAGTCCTTTTAGAAGATTGTTTCTAATTTTCTAAAAAAAATAAATGGTGATGAGAAAATTTTCTCAATTAAGTACTTGACTGTAGTCAGTATATCACTATTATAATGTATACTTTTGAAATAATTCAAACGTCAAATGTAATATAAAACTGTTGCAACAACCCTAGTCAAACCTGATGTAACAACATGGACAATAAATACTTTCGTTGATACAATTTGTAGATGTTTTATTCGGGAGGTTTCTTATGGGAACCCCAACCATGGAAGCATTTTGTAAAACGTTTGGACTCTTTATTTTTTAAAGTAAGACATAACTTCCTAGGTCGATCGGGCTGCTTAACTCTCATATGTTGGATATATACCTACAATTTGAAAGCTATACAAAGTGTTCGGCTTAATCTGGAACTTACATGAGCGGATTTATACGCTAATTTAATTTCCACTTCGCTGCATTTCGCTCCGAGCCATAAAAATACCTGTTCACCATTGTCTAGGATCATTATATCGTCGTCTGCCAGATCATCCTAAAAAAAATATGCAGCGTGTAAATTTAATTAGTGCACAATAATTGTGAAAGGCTAACTGCTATGTATCGACGTGTATTTGTTATATATTCTAAGGTTGGTAGTCTTAACTCCCAAGTTATTTATATTTTCCAGAAAATAATTGTGCTATTGTACCACTTTATCAGTCCACACGTCTCTACGGCTGTGTCATTACCTATCAGATCTTTATCCTAAGAGCGATGACCCTTCTTTTTCCTTTATTTGGTTCATTATGGTATTAAGGCTTGCAGCAAGGTCGGAATTTTTCCTGCCCCACTTATTTTTTTCACTTTTTTCACTCCTCACAATTTTAAACTCTTGCCGTTTATTGTGCTTATAGATCCTATACACTTGTTACATTTTTATTCTTGATTAACCAAATTTACGTCCACGTGCTGAAAACATTTAAAAAATCCCTACACCTACATCACATTTGTCCTAAACATTTTTTCAATTTTTTTATTTTCGATTTCCAAAATGGCCCCCCTTCAGATTGGAAAAAAATATTTAGGACATTTGTTGCAGTAAATAGTGTAGGGATTTTATATATGTTTTACTTTCAAAAATCGATGAAATGGTTATCAAAAAAATTTTTTTTTTAATTTTTGATCAATCACTTTTGTTATTTGAAAAAATAAAAAATTATAAATGCAAATGTTTTAGAGAGCTGAAAGATAATTTTGTTTTTTCCAATAGTCCTTAAAATAAGAGTTATGACGATTTTCCGAAAAATAAAAGAACGCCAATAACTTCGAACCAGAGCACCAAATCAAAAGTTGGAACTAGGAAAAGTTGTTTGTTATAATGAGTTTTAACTGACGTTTTCGGGTACACGTAAAAGTATATAGCGACTTAGTATTAACACCTTAGTATTAACACCCTGTAGGTATATATGTCGTAAACACATGTCGACCAGTATTATAAGCTGTTTAACCCCTACACGTAGGATAGCTTCTCCTTCCTTTCAAGATCTTTAAGCGACATTAGTTACTGAACTTGAGTGGGAGGGAACAAACTGCAGCTCATGAAGTAGAATTTTCAGGAGAAAATCTCCAATTACAACAAATAAAAAAATGTGCGCATACCAACCTGGCAAAAATCTGAGCATTTTTCAGAAACGATAAAATAACCCTTTTCATTCGAACATCTAAACAACCGGGTGTGCTCCATAAAACCGGCGTCCGTTTCGTACGGTTTCTTCCCACCGAGCCCGACCCAAAAAAAGTTATCGGGTTCTTCGCCCTCGGCGAGAACTTGCAGGCTCACCCACGGGCTGTTGAACATCTCCTCCGCGATATCCTGTATTAAATGCGCTTCATCGGGATCGGCCTTTGATCCAACCCAGACGTACACAATTCCCGAATCGTCTTCTTGATCAAAGGGAACGTTCAAGATGTAACTACAATTAAAAAAATCATGATGAGAAAATAACTCGGGAACTTACCAAAACTGGGAATTAAGAGCGGCAGCATCCGGTTTAATTTGCAGAAGTCGACTGTACAAAGCGCTTCCGTTCGAACGCAGATGATAAAATTCGACCGCATTTTTGTTCGTTTGTTTCCTTTTACCCTGATGGATGATTAGCTTTCGTTTGAAATGTGCCATGAATTTCATGTTTTCCTGCTGCTGATGGGTGCGAACAACTTCGAGCTTATCTCTAAATAAAACTTGGAATTTCTTTTGCAAAGTGAATGTAAAAGTGAGCCATCCCATATTCGAAGCTTCGCGCCCTTGCCAAAAGTATACGACGCATTGAAAATCTTCCTCTAAAGGTTCCCCCTCTTCCGTATCATCGGCCGGTATCCAATAGCGGCATAGGAACACGTAACAGTCCATTGAGTAAAAATGTCCTAAAAAATAATACAGTGCTTGGAATTAAAAGACAGTCGGAAGTAATACGGTGCCGCTTTGCCTCTTCTAAAATTTGTATTTTGTTCAACATAGGAAAATTTTCACATATACCGCTTCATAGCGAACGTGAACAAAAATATGTCCGGCAATAACAAAAACGTATTGGGGTAAGGGAGAGCGGTTGTCACGATGTTTTCGAACTTAAAAGTTGCGTTCATTCGATTTGAGCGGGCTGAAAAAATCGAAATGCGGGTTTTCTATTGGTGGTCATTGCGTTCAGAGAGGAGGATCTGTTTTGGTTTTTCTAGCAAAATTAAATCAACACAGCGGAACAGTGGCATTTTATTCCCTTGCATAATCACAATCTCAAGTATTACTTTCGCGAAAATGAAGCCGCTGGATTCGTGATTCATACGAACTTTTCTTCCGCCAAACTTTGAATTCATCACGAATATAACGTTAAAAATAAAAAACAAACCACCCTTTAATTTTGTATGCCTACCCTTTAATGTCGTAGAAATTCAAAACAATCAAAATACTACCAAAAAAATTTAACAAACAAAATCCCCGGTTTTGTAGCGCGGACTCCCGTTACAATATTCACCGAACTTTTTCCATAGTTTCCGAGCTGCACAATGCTTCGAAGAAGAAGCTCAAAATCATAGCAACTAGTTGTGTGTTTCAACTTTATAGATAAACAGTATATAACCATGAGTAGACCGAGGAGTAGACGCATGAACTGTTTGTTGCACGTCTCGAACGCTCTTAGTTAAATGAATATGAAACAGAACAGCGACCTGACATAGAAAATGAAAATATTTACCTAACTCCTCCTCGGGTAATCTAATAAACTTCTTGCCCTCCAGCACGAAAGCTTCCATCGCCTCTAAGTCTTCATTCCAATCTTCCATCAGTTGTTGTGCCTCAGCCAACGGCATTGGAGGTTGTCGGGGCATAAATAACGCGGTCAAGTCAGTTTTCGCCTCTTGCCGAAGCGCCCATTTGGTTAGATCGGCGCCCGTTTTTTGCACCGATTCGGCGGTACGCGTAAAATCTACCGCAATTACCTCATCCCATCCGATGAATTTCAATTTAAACACTTGCGGCTCGGTGCCCTCGCGCACGCGCGTCACGAGCGCATAGTCCGGACGGTCGATCATATTGAATAACTCTTCAGACAACTTAACGGCGGCCGCGTTTATTAACCGCGTCGATTTCTTGCCGATCCTTCAATGACCACCTCAGAAAGACGTGCTAAAAACTCATTGTCTTACCACACAAATAGATCCAGGTAACAATCAAGGATATAAACATTTTTACTATTCAGCAGGGTGCATTCTAGTTTTGCGTGGGGGACTTCGACTTGAGGCAGCTCCAGGTATCCCATTCCCAATTGTACCTTATACAATCTTGGACTAATTGGTTGGAAATCGGGATTCACATGATCCTATAACTCCCAAATAGAGTAAGTCATATGCGTATGAGTCGACATACCTTAATGGGCAACACAGAACTAGGATCTTGTTCGCGTAACGCGAGCCAAAATTCGGTAGATTCCTGTCCCATTGATTCCGTAACAATTTCGGCCTTATTTTTACGCTCGTTTTTATTAATCTTTTCCGACATCAAGCGCGCTTTCGATTTTAATGTATTCTTTGCTGATTTTCCATACCACAAATAGATCTTTGTGCTTGTGTCTAATACAAACACATAATGACTATCTAAAGATTCTTTTGAAATCGGCACGGGTTCTAAATGGATTGAGGCACCCGCTGCGTGAACTCTATAAAGTCGCGTTTCGAAAGTCTGAAATTCATTTTATCACCGTTTGCTACACTGTATGAATACCTACCATATCTTCAACCGTAAAAAATCCACTGCAAGTTCTACCACCCTCAATGTAAGTGATTTGGGTGTCAAATAAGCCCAAGAACTCCTCAGATTCGTCATGCTGCTCTTCGCGAATGGTACGGCACTGGGCCCCCAAATAATTTCGTAGATTAACCGCGTGTATTGCGGCACACGCCCTTTTATCCAACTAAAACCGGAATTTGCCAAATACGGATCAACCCAGTTTACTGTAAATTACCGTGGCCTTTCCTCCAATCCAAAAGTAGATCTCCCACCCCAACGAACCAGAATCATCGACAGTCGTCTTCAGTACAATGTAACAATCGCCCTCGTAGAACTTACCGTGCGTAACCTCATCGATACGATTGGGTAAAAAATTTTCAATCTCCCAAATGGTTAAACCGGCAAATTGGCCTGCGTCATCTTCGAAAAATTCCGAATAATCCAAGGGCGGCTTTTCTAGCGCTTCGTCCCAACGTTTAGGCCTACGATAATGAAGTTTAGAAGAATAACGAATTGACATTGTTTGAAAAATCTACTTCAAGGACTCCGCTTTGACCTCATCCTCTGCTTTGCTTCGATGTTTATCTTTCGCTATATCTTTCATGCCCTGTCGAATAAATTAAATTAATTCAAATTGCGGATACCTACACATTTTGCCACCTTTAAAATTTTAGCTTGGTCCTGATCCGCCTCCTCTTGATCTCTACGCCCTCGGCGAAGCCTCATTTTCCTTGCAATTGGATCTTTGCTAGGATCTGTAAATATATCACCTGTTGGTTACCAATGCAATTCTGCCTTCTGCTACTCGTGCCTTTTAGGAGCAAATACTTGACAAATAGGAAAGGAACAATAATATTATATGATTTCAGCTCAGTTATTAATAACCGACTTTAGTTTCCCAATGTTAAGCGAACATGAGCATTAAAACTTCAAGACCATGCAGTTCATTTCATCATCGCAGACCTTTTTCGATTGACTCCCAATTCTATGTAACAATGGCCATTTGGAAATTTTAGTCCGTTCATTTGAGTGAGCATATATACTGATCTCTAATCAAATGTGTTGGAGCAAACCTCGTCTGATTAGATTAGATCTAGTGTCAAATGAAGCGCGCTTAATTAGCATGAATTTCAAGATTAGTCCCCGATTTTAGGTTTTAATTCCGTTTTAATTTTTGGGCGCACCCAAGTACGTCGGTCGGCTGGGAAATCCGAGTACCATTTCCACATTTTTTTAAAATTCTATATGAGGTAACAGCATGATTTAAAGGATCTTTTCCACTTAATTTTAGCACCCATCTTAAAAACTAGTGAGTAAATTCTATTAGATATTTTACCAAAATTTTAACCAACCAAAAAAATTGCTCTACCTAAATCTCACAATTTCGATCACTCTTACTTACTTTGTGCAGGTAACGGTGCGGGAACATTTGCTCCGGCCAACCGCAGCTGGTTTTGGAGCGAAAAATCTATATTATAAAACTCCAAACCATCCCCGCGAGACATTTCCACAGGCTTCGGGGGCATAATCAAGTCGGGATTATTTCGTAAATCTAACAAATCTAAATCTCCAACCAGATGAATGGCATCCGGCAAGGTTATTAAACGATTGGAACTAAGATTGAGTTTCCTCAGCGATCCGCACCTGCAAATGGCGTTGAAAAATGTACACCGACGGCCGGTACTCACCTGCACAAACCCTCAGGTATCATTTCTAGCTGATTGTGGGATGCGGAAAATATTTCTAATCTACTCAGTTTGCCTATACCCGATGGAATTCCTTCGAAATCCAACTCATTTGCATTTACATAAAGTCGTCTCAGATTAGATAATTTACATACTGACGAAGGAAGACTTTTCAGCTTATTGTAAGACAAGTTTAATGTCTCTAATTTTTGCCACAGCTCCAAGGCTTAAAATGAAAAAAACCGGCGTCATGCATACAGAATGTGTAACCAAATCACCAAGTGATAATTTAGTGAATCTGTACTTAATGAACACTATATCAGATATTTTGATGAACCAATAAAAAATCACTGTCGGTGCAAATTTGTACGTACACTCGAGTTTGAGACCCCAATCCACAAGATGTGAATGAGCCTGATATTCGGGGGATACGGATACATACAGTATGATTCTATGAATTTAGAAGATGGGTAAAAAATGGATCAGAGTCATCATAATAACATAACCTGCACGTTAATCTAGTAGCATATCAGAATTCACAGATGATCCAGATGAAATATAACATTAAAAACAGAGTTGGAAAGGTTTAAATTTTCTATTCCGGCTACTTTGTCCATCCCTCTATTCGTCCCTACAGCTGTCTCGCTATTAGATCTTTATCTTAAGAGCTGTTGTTCTACTTGTTTAACTATTTGGTTCGTTATAGTGCACCAAGGAAGGAATTTTTTCTGTCTCTTGGGAAAGACAGCAAAAAATCTATTTTTTCGTTTCTCATACGTTTGTTGCATTTTAATTTTTTAATAGCCATGGAACATGCTCTACATTAGCGATCATTTTGGGTCAAAGAAACCCAAAATTTGAATGAGAAATCGCATTGATCGAGAAAAATAAAATTAGTTCGGTTGGAAACCACGGTTAACTCTTTGGGTCATTATTTATTATGTGCACCTTTTGAAAAAAAATAGATTGCGCATGCGCAGACCCAACTTTTTTTTATTTACGAACGGTTTTTCTGAAATTTTAAGGGAAAGTGCTTCCTAAAGAAATACACTAAACGTACATCAAAATATATACAACACTTTAAATAAATCTTGGGTATCAATAGAAAAATCTGACATTAAAAACATTACTTCTGCACATATTTATTATAAAAATGACAAACTGCATCTTAAACAAATAGGGCCGAACTTCCGCAAATTTAGCGTAAAAAGATGTAACCGCTCCTCAACTGTCTCATAACTAGCATCCGCTAGTCTTCTCGGTGTCTCCAGTATTTAAGGAAACACCACTTCCACCACAAAAACATATTCCTTCTTCATAATTTTTCAAATAAATCACCAATCACAACGGAACGCGCCAAAACATTTTAATTGTCGACCGCCTGCGTGCGTGGGAATATATCTAAACAAGCTTTGTAAACTTTTCTTTCTTTCAGAGTTTTAATGTCTTTCGGATTAAATTTTTGTCTTTGTCAATCAATTAATTGTGTGTTTATTCGAACCCATTGTGCGACTTGGATATTGTTCATGTGATTTACGTTCTCGTATCCAAGATTTATTTTATGCGTTGATCAAAATTTTTGTAATACATAATTTGGAATTTCTGGAAATTAATCGAGACCAATCTTTAATTTAAATCAATGTTGGAGCCCTTTGTAGCAGATATCGGAGGTGTACGAGGAGGGATCATAAAAAGGTTTTAAGTTTCAATTTTGTTTTGCTTGAGCTAGCTCGGCAGATGTTTTGTGAGGGGTGTAGTTGACTGCGTACCACTACACACAGCATTATTTATTTGGCGCCCAACGTGGAGCCACAGCAATATATTATCTCGATGCTAGGGTGTAGGTTAAATGCATGGTTACTCACAATTCTTAGCGGCGGAGCATTCTACTATCACAAGTTTGTGTGAGGCGGGGCAAGGAAAAATATGAGTGAAATAGCGCTATGGAACTCAATTTTACATTATGGTGTCGTCTCTCCCTGTATGTATTGCCTAAAAAGAGGCAGACAGGTGACCAAACAGATGGTCCCTTGCTTTACAAATGAGCAGTGCTATCATTGCTCTTCTAGTATAAAAATAAGTTCATGTCAATCATCACAATTATGCTATTATATTTTCATCTTTATCTAGTCCATGTGAAGAAAAAGACATAAGTTTTGCCGTGGGCGGCTACCTGCGACTGTTTTTATACTAGATGACGTATAGTACCTATTACATCTGTAAGTTTAAATTAAGATGTAATACTCTATAATGTGTTAAAAACGGCCTCTGTGAGCTTATTCTGGATGACAAATTATGAATATTAAAACCAATAACCATCACAATGAGGCATTATTGCTTCTCGAGATGGCTGATAGGTTCATCAAATTATCCAACAATTATTTATTCAATGGATTCATTTAATTATACCTTAGTCCACTCGGTTCAGTGTACCTACTACATACCTGCCGATAACTCCGTAATTTCATTCTCACTACAATTTAGTCGCTTTAAATTTGCTAACGCGTACAAGGAATCGGGAATTTTAGGCAGCGAGTTTTGAGACAAATCCACTTCAGTCAAGTTAACCAGCGCCTCAACATTCGTAGGAAAATTGGTTAGATTTCTTTGAGTATTTCGGAGTTGTAAATTTTCGATATTTATCAACGAGGGCAGTTGCCGCAGTTGATATTGACCGAGCGGATTGTCATTGAGGATTAAAGTTTGCAAATTTGCCAAACGGCGAGTTTGCGGCGGAAGGGTCTCCAGGTTATTGTGACTTAAATCCAAAAACAGCAGGTCGGATAAATTTATAAATAAGGTGTTAGGAATTGATGAGAGGCTAAAATGGATAAGTTAATTAAATCAACAAGATTTGAGGAGTACATACTGATTATGACTCAGGTTCAAAACCAAAAGTGATTTTGCCCAATCAAGACCTTCGGGTACTTCCTTAAGATTATTATGACTTAAATCCAATGTACTTAACTCTTCTGACTGAAATAAGTCACTTGGTATTCCAGAATTTTTCACTTTATTGTGTCTCAAATTTAGAGTTCGCAAGCATCCTAATTCGGTCAGTTCGCCATGAAGTTTCTCAAGATTATTACGTGTCAATGAAAGATGTTCTAATTTTAAAAGGTTGCCCATTTCTTGTGGTATTTGCGATAAATTTGTACGATCTAATTTCAACCATTGTACTCCCGTCATGGAACTAACTGCTTCGGGAAATTTATCTTCCTATAAAAAAGGATATTTTATTTTTGCGGGTAAACTGTATGAATAATGAAATGGATGGGTATTCCAAGTACTTACACTAAAATCATTGCCAGTAAAATCGACGCCTCGTATGAAAGGTAACACTCCCGTGTAAGCCATATTTTAATAATTATTATGTACACAAATACAAAATATAATAAACTGTAAAATATATAAAAAATTAATAAACTTTCCTCATTTTGACATGGTTGAGGTTATATTTTTAAGAGAAGTAGTTCTATAATACAGTCGGTATACATCTGAGTAGTTCATGTGAGAGTTAATATTAAAAAAGTAGTTCAAATAACCTAAAAGGTTGCGTTCAAATCATCACATTCAAAAATGATTCTTTCACATTAAGCAGAAAAACCATAATTCACAATTTTATTCTCATATGTCTATGTTCACAATACACAAATGACAAAATTAGCTTTTTAATTGTGGAAGGGACAGTAACGCCCTCTGTAGATATCTTATTAACATCAGCAACAAGTTTCAATGTTTTTTACCAACATAACATGGCAGCGTTTTTTTAAATAAATAAACCACCTTTGTTTACGTTTAATACTCCTTGTCTCTGGAAACAATCATACCCGCCATACTGGGGCTGATCTCGCCAATCAACTGTAAGTTCGAAACACCGCACGAGGGGGCTACCTTGGGGGCGAGTTGCTCGGTTCCTCGGTTCAGAATCTATGTGTGTTACATTTGTTGCGATTCACAATTTCCACACATTTCGTTGTAATATTGCATTTTCCCTATAAGGCCATGTAATTTTCATATTGCTCTTAACAGAAGAATTCTATTGCATCAAAGATGAATCACATCCTGTGAATTACTCTTTCTCAGAATTTTGGTACCTGAGCTGCCCTGACCCATTGTTCCCAAAACTTGTTTCTCCACCTCGAAGCCTACATGATACATATTTTTAGCGCATTTCCACAAAAATAAAAAAAATGTGCTATTGTGGCCACTTTGTCCGTCCACCCGTCCGGCTGTCCGTCCGCCCGCTCGTTTTGCGACGCTACTAGTTCTTTATCTTAAGAGCTATTGTTCTACTTTTTTCGCTATTTGGTTCGTTATGGTGTCGAGTCTTGTACCAAGGAAGGATTTTTTTCTGTACCGCTTACAAAAAGTTATTGTAAAAAAAACAAAAAAACCGTTTTTTACATGTTCCATAATTTTACACTTTTGCCGTTATTAACGATCCTAGGGATCGTTTATAATTTTGCATTGCTATCTGTCGTCTGCCTGTTGGTCTGTCCGTCTGTTCCTTTGTCTGTCCATCTATCTGTCTGTGTGAACGATAACTTTGTTTAGAAATGTTCGATCGCTTTTACATCTCCGTTAGTTATGAACTGAATTGCATGAAATTCAATATGGGCATAGATTTAGCCATAATAATACGCAATGCCAAAAGTTGAATCGAATCGATTCAAAATTCACAGTGCCCTTTTCGCATCTCGACCATTTATAAACCGAATTGCAAACTTTTTTACTTATAAAAGTATTTGAATTAAATTTGATACATAGGCACTTGGAATAAAGGAAAATCAAACGCCAATTTCAAAATTTGGTTTTGCGCATGCGCAGTGCCAACTTTTTTTATTTATGGAAGAATTTAAACGAAATTTGATACATAAGCACTTCGAATAAAGGAAAATCAAACGCCAATTTCAAAATTTGGCTTTGCGCATGCGCAGTGCCAACTTTTTTATTTATGGAAGAATTTAAATGAAATGTGATACATAGGCACTTGGAATAAAGGAAAATCTGGCGCCAGTTTCAAAATTTTATTTTGCGCATGCGCAGTGCCAACTTTTTTATCTATGGAACTATTTAAGTGAAATTTGATACTTAGGCTCTTGGAACAAAGGAAAATCTAACATTAGTTTTAAAATTTAGGTTTGCGCATGCGCAGTTCCAACTTTCTTATTTAGAAAAGCATTGAAATGAAATTCTTCTTATAAACTGAAATTGAAGTAGCACGTCAAAAATGGATTGCCCATGTGCAACGCTATCTTTCATATTTGTGGCCGGATTTTTACGATTTTAACAGAAGTTGCATCTTACAAATGGGAAATAAATGCAAGTGGAAATGCGCTTTATGTAAATCGTTTACGATTACTTTTTAACTTGTGTTAATATTGTCATAATTTTATGTTATGCATTCACATTATTACAAACAATTAATTTTGCTACACAATGTAATATTAATTTGTCGCCTGTTTTTCTTGGCAGTTCTTTTTTTCACGGCTTATAATCATTTTTACGATTTTGACATTCCCTACACTCACGCAGTTACTTTTAATCGTTTGAAAAAGATCGCTTTTTTTACCACACAAATTTTCTATAATATGGAATGTAAGAAACACAAACGATTCACAAAAATAAAATTTATTATGTACGAAGATGTATGTGAGGACTGGAAAAAAACCTGATGTCCAGAAAATAGAACTATAGTTCTTTTATAAAACAGAAAAACAATACGTTAGAAATATAAAATGGCATATAACAATGGACAAAAGCATTGATCATACGAATCAAAAATCTACCATTAGGATGTTAAAATAACATGGGTCCATTCATTTTTACAATTTTTATTTGCATATTTTACAGGTGAAAAACTCGCATTGATTAATTTTTCTTTTTTTTATATTTATTATTATTAATATAATTTTTAAAAACCCTTGGGTTTTTGGCTTACCTCCAGTCAATGTAGGTACCTATTAAGGTCAGCTAAAATATCTTCTTCTATGACAGTTTGTGTTTCTAATTCTTTGCGTTCTTTCTGCAAAGCTTGGTATTCCTCATTGTCGACTTTAAGCGCTTTATTCCTTGCTGAAAGATTTTCCAGTTCAACTACGTTAGCATCTCTCTCCATTTGTAATTGGCACAACTGCTTTTGAAGCTCTTGGCTACCTTTCTGTTTTCTTTTCTCCTTTGTTTTATTTGGAACCTGATTTTCTTCATCTGATGAGGTATCTATGCATACAACTGACATCTTCTTACGTTTTCTGCTCTTTATAGGTGAAGTTGAGCTCTGAAGTAATTCTTGGTTGTGTTTTTCTATGCATGTTTCTACGTCTTTGCAAGTGTTCTCCCAAACTTTCTTTGTATTTTCTATCATCTTCTTATATGTACTGGTGATATGTTCCAGATATTCTGTATGATTTAATCCATCCTGTTCAATTTCATTACATAAGAAAGCCAGATAATTGTGTAGCTCTTCCAAACTGGATGTCAGATCTTCTTCAAGAATAACTGAATCTTTATCAAATTTATTAATTTTAAGACGCTGAATTGGTTGTTGTCGCTCTACAGCGACATCTTTTGCGATCGCAGAAAAGTTTAGAACATGCTGGCTTTCGTCAAACATTTCCCTCGCAGGATTAATGCAGACAATCATCGAAATCGATTCATTTCCCAACAACGCGTTTTGAAATAATTGTGTAAGCTTAGATTCGCGCCAGGGCATTAACTGCGAGTTTTTCAATTTTTGTGAATCTCTCACTGCATGAATACAACGTCCGAATACTAAGAGGGACGCGTTGATGTTGTTAGACTCTTTTAATCTATCGCCGACATTATTTGTTTTTTTAAGTCTCTCAGAACCAGCTAAATCGCAAAAATTGAAGGCACTCACGCTCACTCCACTTTTAGAATCAGACGCCTGGGCTAATTTAATTGTGAAGATGGAATGTGAACGGCTTGAGTGATCGTTAACTGCCGTGGAAGCGTAATTTAAGTTCTGCAGCCCATACCGTAGTAAAAAATATGCCTCGGCTGCGGACGACACGTTTATATGCTGTAAGTCTTTAATGTACGCGTTGTTGTTAAAATATACCATGCGTAGTTTTTTTCTTGGATGACCGCGTTTTGGTTCGGTGACTAGTAAGTCGTAAACGTGTTCATTGTAGATTTCGGCAAAAGAAACCCACACGCTTAGGTGTACATCACTGATGTCGTCGTCGATAACTCCGACAGGATTGTCCTTCAAATGTTGCTGCATAACACTAAAACAAAAGAGCCTTATCAAAAATTTAAATTGATGAGTAGTAATTGGAAGTTCTACATAATAAATGAATGCTGAACCCGCGCATGCCTAAGAAATGCTGCAACGCAATAGTTTGTAGAATTTATGGTACAACAAAATGTAAACAGCACAGTAACAATTAACATCAACACACGCTGTTATCGCTTTTATTTCCAGATTTCACGTTCGCTATGAAGCGGTATATGTGGAAATTTTCCTATATTGACTAAATTCAAATTCAAAACCAAATTTTTGAAACTGAAAAGCTACCACCTGTTACACCCTTTGATTATATAATCAAAGGTTACATCTCGGGTTACACCTTCCCGTTCCCGCCACGAAAGGTATAACGTTTGTTAACCCCCCCTTTCCCCGTTTTCAAAACCTTTACTTGGCACCACTAGAAGCATGCATTGCAAAATTTGAGTGGTCATGGAAATAATCCATTGTGAGGGGGGGGGGGGGCTCAAAATTTGAAGACCGTCTAACACACCTTCAAGGTATATAGGTTACTTACTGCAAAAAATTCCAGGACAATATTCTTCTAAAAATGGTTGACAAAACCGCGGGAGTGGATCCGGTAGGGACGGTGTAACGCAATAAGGTATTTAGAAAAATGCGCTAAAAACGAAAGAAATATAGTTATAAATTCAATGGAAATACCACTTATTTGATTATATCTTATTCGATAATTACGCCACTCTGGTTTTTAGATGTTATGAACTATCTAAAAAAAAATATTATGGCTAGCACACCTGCGCATACGCGATTCTGCCCTTTTTTACCTAGGAAAAGGTGTGCGAAATTTGGTTCCAATCGGTTCAGCCCATAATAAACAGCAGGGAATTGAAAGACAATTAATTGGTGCATTTGCAACAAAACCTAGTTAATAAATTGAGCAAAATTAATATATACACAGCGGAGCATGAGTATTTTATTCGTTTGCATAAACACGATATCAAGTGTTATTTTGTTATTATCTTCCTACGTATCTCTACTACTAGACTGCAAGCTTGAAAATTAATGTTAAATTACCTGTACGTCCTGAAATGTTGGGCAGGATCACCAGAGTGTTTCATTAGATTCGTCACAGTTAATCTCTCCTGTGCGCTTTCTGAAGAACTCAATTTCATAATACCACCTGACGGTGTAGGCTTGATGTGCGGTTTCGATGGCAACGCCGGTAGAGTTTGAAAGAAGTATTCCAGTGCTCTCGGAACAATGCCCGGTTCCGTAGGAGTTCCCTGTAAAGTAAATGTTTTGCCGGACCCCGACGAGCCGTACGTCAACAGAGTGCAATTAATGCCCTGAATGAACTTTGTCACCTTCTTCAGAACAACGTCATTATAAATTTCACTTTGTGTGGCGTGGGGACCAAAAATTTTTGAAAATTTGTACATTTTAACTATTTTGTTAGCGGGCGGTACTTTACAGTGAAGTGTGTTGTTGTTGATAGCATATACATGTTTGAAGTTTTCTGCCTTTTTTATCCTCAGGTAAACGCGTAGAAAATTGCCCTGCAAATAAAGATTTAAATAAGTAGAGTAGGTGATAGCCTGTTTTACCGCTACTCACTTCTTCCGAAGAAATGTCTGGTACTGCAACTTCATCATTGTTAGTGGGAAAATTTTGAGCCAATATGCTGAACACACGAGGGTTTAAGTAAGAAATATTTTCGGATGAGACTTCCTCTTGAGACATGATATTTTTTTAATGTAGGGCACAGAACACTCAACAACGTATTGCAGGGTTTCTGTTTTGATTTTTGGAATTTGAAATGATAGTAACGGTTCTGGAAGTGGAATTCGTTGTGTCTCATCTACGGGCAGTGGTATACAAGTTGCCGCGTAAAAACAGTGAACAGTGTTGTGTCATGACAGTTGGGAGATACTTTAGTTATTTATTTAATTGCAATGGTTATACAGTTAGATATGTATTTTATATTTAGACGTTATAAACGCGGACATTGTTCGTAGTTGCTTGTTAATGTCAAAAATATACACAATGTATTATTTTATACGGACTACTTTACAATTAGCAAAATTAGGCACCTTAAATATTGCCTAGATCACTCAATTTATTAACTTACTATTGATCTAGATAAAAAAATCAGGATTAAGGATTTTTGAGAAAGAAGTGTTTAATGAATTTTATTGAAATAAAAAAATAGCACATTTATAGCATTTTTCTTTCTTCAAATTGGTTGAAACCAATCAACCACTTTACTATCATTCCAAACGAACTTTCCTCGCAAACCATGATCTTCCAAAGCTAAATATAAGGGCGCTTTAGCACCTTCTTCAATAGTTAGCACACCTTTATGATTGGTCATATCGGTATCTACATAGCCGGGATGAACTGAATTTACCATAATATTTCTGTGTTCGTTTTCTTCATCGAAGAGCCTCTGCTGTACATTGGTAAGTGCAGAAACACCGACCTTAGACACAACGTAAGCAGAGTTGCCCCATCCCTTTTCACTGTTAACATTCATTTTGGCAGCTCTAAAAAATACAATTATTCGCAATCTGCAATGCTAACCGGACGTACTCTACAAATTCTCGCATGTATTCACTTAATTTTTCAATAGTTAGCGATGCTTCACTGAGTTTTGCTCGAATATCTGGCGATGGAATTCTAAATAAATGACCTGCAGAACTCGAAACATTAACGACTTTTGCACTTTGCCTTAAAATCGGAAAAAGTGTCTCACAAACACGTAAAGTACCGAAATAGTTTACTGCAATCGTTTCCTCAGCTTGCTTGGAGAATGGTACGGATGTGACTTGCTAAAATTTGCATTAGAATATTCGACTTACAGCAAACCATTACCGGAAAAGCTATCGCAGCATTGTTCACCAATATATCTATTCCGCCCTCTGCATTTTTGATATAGTCTCTAAATTTATCGATGCTCGCTTGATCATTTACGTCCAATTGGTGAAAAAGAGGATTTAGGCCTAATTCCTTTAGTTTCGCTACTGCATTAAGGCCGAGAGCTTCATTGCGAGCTGTTAAATATACATTTCCGGAAAATTTTTCACAAAGTCCTTTAGCTATGGCATATCCGATTCCCTTATTGCCCCCTGTCACCTATAGCTACCTTTAGTATTAAAAATAAGAAAGAAATATAATCATACCACTGCAACAGCTTTCATATTTCCTGTCAGAGTTTTAAAGGTTTAAAAACTGTTTTTCTTGTATAGGTATGACTTTATATTTAAATTGACACTTCAAAGGTAAGGTCCCAGAAGTTCTGTAGAAGATCTTAAGGTTGTGATCGCGGTAAAGTATCACTGATCTAATCACTATAAACGTCCTTTTATCAATGTATGTAAGGTCATTACGGTAAATTATTCACGGTGGTTGTGGTTTTGTTTTGAGGTTAGGTACTCTGTCTCTTACTTTATTCATTGGCCTCTTACTATAGGTTAGCTCATATTTCATATACCGGGTGGTGCACGGTATGTAGGAACATACCTAGGGATTTAACAAGGGGAAGTTTTATGCAATATCCTGCCCTTCTGTACATTTTACAGAAAAAAATGTACAGTTTAAAGTTATTCAGAATTAAAAGGTGTTTTTTAAGCTTTTGGTATACCAGCAAATTTAAAAATAAATTTCAAAAGTTCTGTTATTAGTAGGAATTCATAAAACAACAAAAGTCATGGCTATTGCGACTAACAGAAATGTTGAAATTTATTTTTAAATTTGCTCTCCTCTTTGTACTGTTTCTTTTGCTCTTCCTGTGGCACCAACCGACAAAGTGGCTCATGTTTTACCTGCAATTGTGTGGCAGGCTTCTTCTGTTGGAATATTAATTTATTAAGGTTTACACTATCGTTATTTAAGTAATGACAGTAGTATAGGACGTACAGAATAGTATTATATATTTGTTTGATTCAAGTTTAATTGAATATTTGAAAGGGTTGAGAAAAATAACAGGACCAGACTTAAATTTAAATACCTTCATGATAGTACACACATCTGGCATTTTTCGCCTCCAAGTTGACCAATAGCCCTCTCTCCCTCCAAAGGTTTGATGCATTTTACCATCTACATTTTCGTGATCCAGTTCAATTGAAGCCCTGAGGATTTTTCCCCTTCTGTCTCAGGCCGGATTTTGTTTTTTAGTCATATTCGCACCTAAGCAGTAATGTACTAAATATCACTCTGTATACCATACAAAAAATGAAGCCGTTACTATGAAATAACAACTTTTTGTACGCGTTTAATGGTTGGCAATTTGTACAGATCCTTCCCAAGAGCTTTAGTGCCCTTTGAAATAAAACCTTTGGAAATACAGTGCAGAACAGAAATAATTACAAAATAAATGTGACGAAGGTATAATGAGACAATGACCAACTCTACTTCAAAGCACTAAAATCAAATGTCGTCAAGCAGGTAATGTTGCTTTTGCAGTTTCATGTTTAAAAATAAAGCAATCCAAAGTTATACCTACTTTCTAAAAATAGATCAATTGAAAGTATGGCACATTTTAAACATTCACCAGGAATAAATGCAAGACAATTAGATATTTAGCAATTTGAAGCAGAAGTACGTGTTCCACTAGCAAAACTGTAGTACAATTAGTCTTGAACTCACATTTTATTTTAATTCTATAAACGAAATAAAGTAAAAAAATTTAATAGTCTAGCCAGTATTAAAGTTTGGTGTAACAATCACTAATGACGCATTTGGGGCATTAGAGGTAATCCCCCACTGGAAACTGCGGTATTTGGTCCGAGTAGCATCTGCAATTATAAAATCATAGGTATAATCAAATACAGCTTCCAAAAGTAACCTGTTTCTGTTGAGTTCTTTGCGCTTCTTCCATTTGCACCCTTTCGACTTCGAATATGACAGGGGCAAATAAAATAATAGAGGAACTAAAAAGGACCCAAAAGGCGGACCGTGAAAATCCGTAAAGACCTTGCAATGATGATTTGGTTGTCGTCGCAACTGTGTATGTTGCGTTTCTAACAGGTTCAGGAAACATTTCCGTTAAACCCCATAACCTCTCCGACAGTGTTTCATCGGGCTACAAATTATATTTAACTACACATTTCGTGGGATTTGTAGACAGAAAACCTCATCAATATCCTCCTTTAGTGCAACACTTCCACTGGTCAGGTCACTTTTGTCGGAAATAATTCCACTCCTTCCTGCTTCACTTTCGTTTTGGGACCCCATTCCGCTGTCAGTATCGTCACCTGGTGCCATAAGGATTATTATTTGAAACTTAATTTATTGTAAATTAATTTTTAATAACTTGGTTATAACATCAATCGTGCAATCTACATGTGATGAAGAAAAATAAGTGCGATTGTGCCAGTTCAACACATGCGCGTGTCGCTCCTCGTCATTTAAATTCGTCAAAAAAGGAGCACAAAATACACTTTCTTACCTCCGCCCTTTTTAAAACTGTAGTTATTCCCTTACTTGCACTGACATTGAAAGATTTTTCAAACTTTGAACCCACATCCCACTCTGACAAAATTTAGAATAATTTAGTTTAGTACAGGACCGTAACGTGCAGTAACATTTTGAATTGCAGTATTATAATTCACTGTTCAGCGGTACAGCTACCTGGGCAATTTCATGTTATTAATGGACATGGGGAAATTGTAGTAAAGGGTGATAATACAGCGCCCTAGGACAAACCGTGTAACAAATTTAAATTTCCCACGGTGGAGAACTAGCAGCAAATACAATTGCAGCGAGTTTATGATTTGGCAACAGCGTACGCAACAGCACATGTTTGTCTAAATCGTCCACGCCGTACGATGCACTGCGCATGTCTGAAGCATTTTTATATTTTTGCTTTTCAAAAAAATTTTAAAATGTCTGAATTGGGTACGCGTTTTTGTGAAAAAAATGTTTCATACCACAGAATCGAACCAGAGCAACAACACCTGTATTTTAGATGTTGTTGACCAGAGCATGTCCGGGTGCGAGGCGGGTATCCTGCCCACAAAACCACTGTGGCACACAATCATGCGTTAAATCGTAACTATATACCATAGGGGCACTTCTAAAAAGCATTATGCAGGTGACTCTGTAATTGGGCGCAAGCCTGCTGAGGGATAATAAATAAAATAAATACCACGGACCTCTTAAGAGGTTGAATTGTCATTCCAAAATAGTTGGGGTAAAATACTAAATAAGGTAGATTTCTTCCATATCCCTCGCTGCCTTCAGGAAGTGTTCCTCCAGTATGCTTGCTGTATTTCTACGCTGGATGACCAGGTTTATTTGTTGAAGTAGGAACATAGATGATTTATAGGTTGCTGAGTACCTGTTCCACCATCCGCATCTACTTGCTCAAACCATTATTCAGGGAACGCAAATCTTCTTCTCTTACGTTCAGAGCAAATACAGCTGTTACGTTTCTTCTTTTCGGCTTCCCTATGGCCTCATAACAAATAGTCTCACAACAACATGACGCAAACGAAGTAGCAAAAGTATCAAAACTGTGAAATCTCATACCAGAAGTCTAGCGGTCTCTAAGGTATTAGAGCCCAACCATCAGGTCTCTTGTCATTTATTCTTCTGCAACATGCAACAGAGGGGCCAACACACACTGATTTCAGCAGTTCTTATAGCCCCCTGGATAGCAAATTCCAATGACAACTGTGTTTTAACTTTCTTCCTCGCCTTAGTTTACAGCTTCTGTTGGCAGACCTGACCACATCGACATTGGCATTGCCATGACTTTCAGTCGTGATTTATTAATTTCATTCAGTAAGACGTTGAATATATATTTTTTTAGGGTTATCCATCTATAATTTTTGTTGCTCTGTCTACTTGGAGTCGGTTGTTGCGTCCATTCCCTGTCCGAAAACTGTAAACTTCACTTACCTCCTCATCTCTGTGGTAATCTACCCCATTTAGGCAACGCACCTTTACATGTGCTCTGCATGATTCGATTTAAAGGAAGTACTGTAATGTACTTAACCCCCAGATCCTGCTTAAATTTGAAAAGGGGCACGTGATCAAACACCTAAGGTAGGGCTACCGGCTCCCTTACGTTAGTTGTAGGCAACGTTTTGACCTGAAGCACAGTAGGGAAGGAACGTAAAATAAAACACTCAAATTGTGAAAAGTTTGTTTAATAATGATCGTAATTATTATGATTGTGAAAGCTCGGAAATTTAAGGCGAAATAAATTACATTGCAAAAATAAACTTTGAAAATGGTAGTTCACCGAATAAAAATAGAAATAGGCTGGGAAAAAAGAACGTACCAATAAAAACCAGCCGTCAAATTAATATTAAATTAAATGCGTAACATAAAATTATAACATCACAAAAAGTAGCAGGTAAACTTCAAGAGGTAACATATAGGTTAAAAACAAGTTTTGGGAATTATGGGTCAGGTAAGCAGGTACCAAGATGAAAGGGTGAAATACACAGACTTATCTTTGGTTAAAAGCAAGATGGAAAATTAGATGGCCTTGTAGGAAAATTTAACTAAAGACGAGACTAAAGACCAAATATGTGGAACGAATCGTAACTGATTTATCGCACATAGATTCTAAACTGAAGAGTTTTGATTCGCATAATCTCGTCCCCGCAAAATAGGTAGCGTCGCCCCTCGTTCGAGATTTCGAGCCTACAGTTGAATGTCGAAGACAATCACGGAATTAGGTGTCGTAGCTCAATTTTGACTACAGTTTTTACCACCCCCGTGACTGCTTCATTCACGGAGAAAAATGTTAGTAACAAACAACAAGTCAGTACATACATCAAACGAATTTGTAATTTCCACATATTTGAAATAAAATGATTAAGACTTATATGAATGTTACTTCACGGACAAGACCAAGTAATCAACATCAATAAACATACATTAAGCAAGCATTACACTAAAAACGTAAACAATTACAAATAATAAAAAAGCATAACGGTATTTAACATGTCATTCTGTATTGCGGTTAAATCACGTAAATTTCAAAATCAAAGATTGAAACACACAAAAAATATAAAATGAGGCATACAAAACACAAATACCATATAAAGGAATGCAAAAATTACTACCTGCATTAAATACAAAATAACAACAAACATTTATGGAGCGACGCGTTCACGACCGCCATTCAAGACAAGATTCTCAACGTAACCCCCGTTCGTGCTTTTTAGATGGCGCAGGCAGCTTTTTCCCACCTAGGGATTGCATGGTTGCCAACTCTCAAAAATGTATGTACCTATCGTCGTAAGTTGTCAGGGTGGAACCTCTCAGTATCCAATACAATCCGATTCCAGAACGATAAAGAAATATATAAATCCAAGTTGGGACCAAGACTATATAATCAGAAACATAAACAAAAAATTAGGAAACATTACACCAAAAATAAATGCCATTTCAAACAATAAAAGTTAACGATATCAATTATACGATTCCGCATTGAGGTTAAATCAAGTCAATTTCACTAAAAATGGAAATTATAAAAAAATATATATAGAATGTTGCATACAAGACACAAATATATTATAAAGAAATACAAAGATTGCATCATCGAAAGTAAGTTGTATCTTGTAGGTATATACACTGTAGATCAGATATACTTCAAGTGATTAGACTACTGTCGGCGCAAAAAGTATGTGCACCCGAGTTTAAAGATTAATAAAAAAATAACCAGTTGACCTATTTTAATGGGAGGGGTATCAAATTAAAGCTCGTTTAATTTTGCGTTGATTAGGCCTAAAGGATATTTTTTCCATAAAATTTAACTACATTTAGAACGCATAAAGTGCAAAAAATGCCCTTTTTTTGTGATATTTCTCGTTACGGTCAAGTTTGGAGTCGAATAAAACGAAAACCACCCCATGAAATCGCTTCCAATTTTAGTATGCTATACATTGAACCTTTTTAAATAAGTAGTTAAAATTTTAGTACGAGAGTAGAGGCTAGAGCCATTTATGTAAGTTCCGATTTTATCAGAAACGGGAGGTCGCACGAACTTTTAAAGTAGATCGATATCAGCGGCTTATTGTCAATAAAACAATAGATGTACTTTTAAAACTATAATTTGATTAAGTTTGTCATAAACATTTTTTTATTTTATGGAGTTTTTCGCTTTGCATGTCGCGTTTATCGAGATGCATGTGAAGGATGCGCGCGAACTCCCAGTCCATTAGAATGTTTATTTTATTGTAATTTCCACTGCCCATGTATATAATTATAAATTGATTGTAAGACCATTATAATTTGTGAAAAATGTTTATTACTTATGTATAATTAAACTTTCTTATATAATTAATGTTTTACTCTCCTTTCTCAAAACATTTTGCCTGGTATTTTCAAATTTTTGTTAATAACATTTTTTTGGCATTGAGCCTTGTGAAAAATGATCGCCTACTTTCGTATAAGAAAGATGCATGGGCGAGTAACATTCTAATGGACTGGGAGTTCGCGCGCATCCTTCACATGCATCTCGATACACGCGACATGCAAAGCGAAAAACTCCAAAAAATAAAAAAATGTTTATGACAAAGTTAATCAAATTATAGTTTTAAAAGTATATAATTAGCTGCTGATATCGATGTACTTTAAAAGTTCGTGCGACCTCCCGTTTCTGATAAAATCGGAACTTACATAAATGGCTCTAGCCTCTACAAAAATTTTCGTACTAAAATTTTAACTACTTATTTAGAAAAAAAAAGCAAATGCCAAACAATCCTCTTCAACAAATATCAAACAATATCCCTACCCAACATTCAAATCACTCTGGAAATTCTTATGCCTCCAGACTTAGAAAAGAACCCCAAGAAGGCCCATCGTTAAACCAACCTGGCCAAAGCTCCACACAAAATGTCCAACAAGCTGTTCAGCAACCAACCAATGACATACAAGAGCTAAAACAAATGATGAAAGGGCTCATGGAACAAATGAGCACCATGTTAAACATATTAACAACTCTCGTGTCTAAAATGGCATAAATGGCTAAACAAATTAAACTAGCTTTATGGAACGCCAATGGTTTAACTCAACACAGACAAGAATTAATACAATTTATCTCTAACCATGAAATAGACATAATGCTGATATCCGAAACCCACTTCACTGAGAAAAGTTGTATAAAAATACCTAAATTCACAGTTTATACTACCCAGCACCCCGATGGAACTGCCCATGGAGGAACGGCTGTCATGATTAAAAGTACAATCAAACACCATGCCCTAGACAATTATAACGAAGAACACATACAGGCAACCAGCATATCAATAGAGGACTGGATTGGCCCATTAACAATAACAGCTGTTTACTGCCCGCCAAAACATACAATTAAAAAGGAGCGATTTGAAAAATTCTACAACACTCTTGGTCATCGATTCATAGCTGGAGGAGATTATAACGCAAAACACCCACAATGGGGCTCAAGGCTAGCAACACCCAAGGTTCGAGAGCTATTGAAAGCAATGCAAACAAACAACCTACGACATCTCTCAACGGGGGAACCTACTTACTGGCCCACTGACCAAAGAAAAATACCAGACTGTATCGACTTCTGCGTGGTCAAAGGAATACCAGATAATTGTTTAGAAGCAACATCAAGTCTTGACTTATCATCTGATCATTCTCCAATCATAGTAACCGTAGGCACAAAAGCACTGAGCACGAAAAAGTCTCCATCACTATGCTCCAAAAAGACTGACTGGAATAACTTTCGAGAATTAGTAGAAAAAAACCTACAACTACAAATCCCATTAAAATCACCAAATGACATAGAAGTAGCTATCGAACAATTAAACAAAACATTGCAACAAGCAGGATGGAACTCGACTCCAGAAACAAAAATAGGAGCTGAATCCAACTACTGTCCCGCTAACATAAAACAAAAAATAAAAGAAAAACGACAACTAAGAAAACGGTGGCAAACCACAAGAAGCAACTGCGACAAATCAAAGCTTAACAAAGCAGTCAAGGAACTAAACCAGCTGTTACAAGAAGATAGAAACCAAAGCATCCAAAAATACCTAGAAAGCCTAAATGCAACACAGGCGTCTGACTACTCCCTATGGAGAGCAACAAGAAAATTAAATCGACCACAACTTACAATACCCCCACTGAAAAGGGAAGATGGCAGTTGGGCTAAGAGTGATAAACAGAAAGCGGAATTTTTCGCAGTGCATTTAACTGAGGTTTTTCAACCTCACAAATTCGACAGGCATGAAGAAGAAGACGAAATTTGTCAGTACTTAGACGTTCCAAGCCAATTAGAACCACCGTTAAAAAAATGTACATTATCTGAACTGTCATCACTGATAAGCAAGGAATTAAATCCCAAAAAAGCTCCTGGATATGACCTCATCGGCGGTAAAATATTAAAAGAACTCCCACGTATCGGTGTAAAATTTATAACCCAAATTTTTAATGCGATCCTAAGAACGGGGTACTTTCCAAGCCAATGGAAGGTCGCGGAAATAATAATGGTGCAAAAGCCTGGTAAACCACCTGTAGAGGCGAAGTCATACAGACCCATCAGCTTGCTTCCCATCGTGGCCAAACTGTTCGAAAAAATGCTTCTAAAAAGACTTAAACCACTTTTGGAGGAAAAACAACTACTACCAGACCATCAGTTTGGTTTCCGACGGCAACACGCAACTGTGGAACAGGTCCACAGGTTAGCTGCAGAAATTCACAAAAACTTCGAAAAGAAGAAATATTGTACTGCTGCGTTCATCGACATAAGCCAAGCTTTTGATAAGGTCTGGCATACAGGCCTTCTGTATAAGTTGAAGAAAGCGCTGCCTGGTAGTATGTACTTGGTTCTGAAATCGTACCTCACAGACAGGCATTTTTACGTAAAACTACGAGAGGAATACACCAAGATTTGTCCAATCCAAGCTGGAATCCCCCAAGGAAGCGTATTGGGTCCTGTCCTTTACTTACTTTACACAGCTGATCTGCCCACCAATGCAAATACCACTACAGGAACATTTGCAGATGACACCGCCGTCCTAGCTGCACACGAGGAGCCTGCTGTAGCCTCAGATACCCTGCAGGATAGTCTAAATAAAATGGAATCTTGGTTTAAAAAATGGAAAATAAAGGTTAATGAAAGTAAATCTGTCCAAGTAACATTTACATTAAGAAGAGATACATGTCCTCCAGTTAAACTGAATAATCAACAAATCCCACAATCTGATGATACGAAATATTTGGGCATCCATCTGGACAGACGCTTGACTTGGCAAAAGCATATCTTCACGAAGAGAAAGCAACTCGGACTCAAGTTGAGCAAACTACACTGGCTAATTGGCAGAAATTCAAAATTGACCCTCGAAAATAAATTACTAATCTACAAGACCATCCTGAAGCCTGTGTGGACCTATGGCATCCAGCTATGGGGTTCAGCATCCACCTCCAACATCGAAATATTAGAAAGATTTCAGTCCAAAATCCTACGAATGATTACTGATGCTCCATGGTTCGTTCCCAACGAGGTTATCCAACGAGACCTACGAGTGCCCACGGTCAAGGAAGAAGTTAAAAACTTCAGCAAAACTTACTACCTAAGATTGTGCGCCCATCCGAACAGACTAGTTGAAAAACTGAAAATCGGCGACTACAGCAAAGACCGGCTGAAGCGACGAAATATAAACGATTGGTTAAATAGGCTCTAAGTGAACCTCCTCCTCAGTTAAGTTAAAATTAATCATGCTATGATTAAATGGTTGAAAGGGAGACGTCACTGGACGATCCCTACATGATTTGTAAAATATTGACAACTGTATTACTCATTATCCTCCGGATAGATTGTAATAAAAACTATTATAATAAAAAAAAAAAAAAAAAAAAAAAAAAATTTAGAAAGGTTCAATGTATAGCATACTAAAATTTGAACCGATTTCATGGGGTGGTTTTCGTTTTATTCGACTCCAAACTTGACCGTAACGAGAAATATCACAAAAAAGGGGCATTTTTTGCACTTTATGCGTTCTAAATGTAGTGGAAAAAATATCCTTTAGGCCTAATCAACGCAAAATTAAACGAGCTTTAATTTGATACTCCTCCCATTAAAATAGGTCAACTGGTTATTTTTTTTATTAATCTTTAAACTCGGGTGCACATACTTTTTGCGCCGACAGTAGTCAGATCTTGCGGTACCTGGAAAGAATGCGCGGACTTTTAATTAAATTTCTATCAAGAATCAAATCATTTTCTGAAGCCTCAACTCAAAGTTAGTCGAATACTTAGTTGGAAAAAGGATGTTTTTTCGGAGACAATCCAATGTCCAAATAGAATGTTCAACAACTGTATCTTTGGAAATTAAGAGCCTCAGATCTCAAAACGTCACCATCCGACACCTTGTTGGGAATTGTGAACGCATTCAACTTCTGATTATGTTTAAGAGAGGACCCCCGTTCTAAGCAGACCCATCGCCTGACGGCCTATATGTGAAACGGGGCGGATCGTCCCTTTACGCCTTCAAAAAGTAGGTAACTATGTGGCGATGTAAAAGATCAATATCCAGAAGATGGCACCCTTAATAAAAAAGTGTGCATATCAAGGCGGCAGTCGCCCCAAAGAAATAGGGGAAAGGCGCGTTAATGAGATCATTCAAGTTGGCGGCCGACGCGTCTTCCAGCGGTTCGGCAGCAAATGGTAAGAAGATTCGCCGAAACGCCAGAAGGTTGTCTACACCGCGGTGTCGATAAAAAAAACCGGCGTCGAAGTATGTAAAGAAAAACAAGGCACCGGCGGCTGCATCTCTACCGAAGAAAGTGGCGTCCGCATCCAGGAAGAAGAGAACCGGCGCGGCGCACAGCCTCTTCCGTTAAAAAAACGCAAGCGGGAGGCGGCCTCGTCTCCGTCCAAGTCTCAAAGTAAAGAAAAACAACGCAGTTCTCCACGAACAAACCAAAACGCCTTCAGCCAATTAAAGAAGACAAAGCATATGAAGAAACCCACTACTGACCGTCTAAGAAGAAAACATATTATACAGCGAGGAGATTCTTCTCTCATACATTCTAAGCACCACCATTTTTTTTTCAATTTTGACCGTTTCTACTCTTGTCGATCAAGCACCCTGCAGTAATCAAGCTTTGTAGACTTCCAAATAAATACTATTCCTGTTCGGGGATGGTGTGCTAACGTGGTCGCCACCTTTATCATTGAAAATGTAACCTTTAGACCTAGTGCCAGCTACCGCGAGAATTTTAAAATATCGCCACCCCCCAAAATGTGGGAATAAGATTATTAGACCGTATGAGGCAGTACTAATTTAGAGAGAAGTGGAATATGGGCAGAACCATACACGTTCAAATTTTATTTCCAAGAAGAAAATGGTTGTCCTAGTATTATTTGTACCTACCTATTTTTTCTATGGTGCAAACCTTTCTCTTCTCTCACGAACTTCAGTTTTGAGTGCAAGGTGTCATGCCATTTCCAGGATGTGTAATACTTACGTATTTAATTAATTTTTTCCTATTGACTGAAATTTCCTCCTATTTCAAAGGCATTAATATTAATTTACACAACATGGGCATGTGGTTACAATGAAGGGGCCCACAGATCAGAAAAGTATCTTAAAAGCTCTTCCTTTGTAAATATGAACAGTTTATTTTCTCATTAAAAGTAACATACATTTATTAAATTACAAATAGGTTCTAGTCTAGAATAGGTATTCATGTCAAAATTGAGATGATTGAGATCACATTGATCATTACACAACAGAGCTAAAATTGATTTCCTTTCAATCCAAGTGCCTTAAATCATCATACAACACAAAAAAGCAACATGTTTCGTACCGCCAATCACATTTTGAGCATGAATCTGTATTCTTCGCGTGTTACATTGCAGTCATTCACTCACTACGATAATAATATTTGTATTAACAATTTGACAATTACCTACTAATTCAAACAGGCAGTCAGATATGGTAATTCTACATTTGTATCATTTTTTAAAGACTAGCCATTAATAAAAAAACACTAGCAATTGAAAATCTTACAAAGAAACATAAAAAAGTATACAAAAATTTGTTTAACAATCGTCTTGAGGCAACTGGCCACACTATCAGCACTAAAATAATAAATATAACTGGTTAAAATTACATTTATCCCTATACAGCAACTTCAAACAAATTCTTCTACTCCATATTGTATTGTATCTATCGCATTTGAAAAAAAATTTACTATTGTTCTTAGTCCAAAAAGGGCGGAATACACTTTTAAAAACGACGAACATCGATGTATGGGTAATCACTACGTGTGTGCATTTGGGCACCTCAGTTGCCGGTGGTGTCTCTTCACCTTTTTGGCACTTCACTTAATTTATAGAGTCTTTGCTTTATCTAATAAATCATTGATAAACTTCTGAAACGATAAAAAAGTATTAAAACACTATTATTAAACACTAAAGAGACTTACTTTTACATCATGTTGAGATTTTTTCGCACCAATAAGAAGTGTCTGTAACAAAAATCGGTAATGTTAGTTTACAGCTCGCATAAGTTTCTGATTCAAAACCAACAGGAAGTAACTGACTTTTTATGTCAGTTTTTCCACATCTTATACGTTTTCTCAGTGCATTAGACTAAGTAGTAAAGTACCCACTTCACTCCTGCGGAGTCTCAACCTAGTTAGTGGGTAGTAAGTAATACAATGAACTGCAATTTTTTTCTCTGGGGAACATTTCTTTGCCTTCCCGTTGATATTTAGTTTAAACACCGCAACCGCATGTTGGAATGTTTGCATTTATTTTATGTCTACTATTTTCCATCACGCAACGTGCTTATATGTACACACCTATAAACCAAATCACGTAGGTTTAGCAAAATATCAAAGATGAGTACTATATGATACGGTATATAAATAAACTTATGTAAGAAATTCAAAATCCATAAGGGTTTCTGTTTATATTTCATAAATGGATTAGGATCTCTCCTGCGGGGGAAATCGATGAATATTTATTTCTTTTTGGCAAATATGTTTGCGTTATCCGCGTTCGTTTTTCTACAAAAATTGATAAAAGGATGAAAATATTTCGCGCATTTCTCTTTAGAAAATGACTAACCTTACTAAATTACATCCCTAAATCCACCCCTGCTGTAACACAACACGTTTGTATAACAAACCGCAATTTGCACAAGACTTATGCTTGAGCTTAATTGAAGTACCTACCGTGAAGTTTATTCCAAACAAATGGAATATCATTAAAGATTTCCAGCATTGTAACAGACGCGTATCGATTTCACAATTTTAAATGGAAAAGTGTGTACGAAAAGAAAGGTTGGTCAGAACTATAAAATTTTTATTTACTTATAGATTTCTGACAATAAATTCAAACAGAGGAAGCTGTTACAAGTCCAATCGTTAACCTTCCAGTAAAGAATTAATGGAGACCTTATACATATACATATTACCGACAGATGTACAAATAAGGAAGGGACAAAATTTATTTTATTTGCAACCTCAGCTTTAGGTATATTTATTACTGAATAAATGTTTTCATTATTTTTTCAAACCGTGCAGGCTACCATGCTAGTAAACCAAGCACTAAGACTGAAATTTTAAAGGTCGACCCCCCATATTACCATTGTGTGACTTTCATGAACATTACAAAAACTGTTGTAATCACTATTTTTGATAAAAGAAAGCAAATCTTAAATCTCTTGAGTGTATCATTTTGTTGGGGAACACAAGGGATGGACATTTAGCCAGAAACCCTTAAAATCAATTCGATATGACAGGATGTCCCAGAACGAGTGGGATATTGAGGACACGTGAAAATAGCCCAAACTTCGTCCTCTTGAAATTGCGAATACACCAGAATTGTCATAGACGTGCGGAATTTCACAACTAAAGGTATTTAATTTATATTCTAGGAAATGAAGGTTTTTGCCTTACAATTTTTCCAAAATGAAATGATTATGCCAAAGGGCGCTTTTTACCCTGTGGAATGGAAATTTTTATTATAATTTGACACAAAAAAAAATAGATAGAAAGATTAATTCTAAGCAAAAACTGTTATGTAATTTTGCTGTAAAATCAATACTTTTCGAGTTACTCGCGCTCAAAAGTTTCACTTGTCCATAGTAAAGATCAATGTTTTTAATTGGTTATTCGCGAAAAGCTCGAAAAGTATACATCTTATAAAAAAATTGTGCGAGAATACCTAGCGGGCATATTTGCCGTTTTCCAGAAAATTTGCCCGATAAATATCCTCGATTAGGGCGTTGTGCGATCCTGTAGAAACGAACAGTTTCCAACTTTTGATTTTTTGTATGCCGTACATCCTTGAATTCGTGATTAAAAATGGTACTCAATACAGTACGTAGGTACTTTTTTTACGGGCCATATAAACAAATAATGTTGATGATGATTTCTCCGAAACGAAATGTTGTACTGTAACGGTGTCTTGTAAGTTGTAGAGCTCAAAAAGTGGCAATGAGAAAGTGTTTTTTTTTTAAATTTTTTGGGTTTGTTCAAATAACAGAAAAAACACAAAATCAGCAAAAATTTGGGTTTTTCTGTCCTATTTTCGGGTTTTTCTTTAATAGCGTATTTTTTCCCTAATTTGACCATCTTCGTATACTTTATGATTTCAGAGATCCCCATGGCCCACCCATACCTTGGACACAGTGTATATAATAGTTTTTGGCGAAAAGGGGTAGTTTTCACCCCTAAAAAATGAAGATCGTTCATGAGCCTAGTATAGATTTTCGAGTGGAGGATAAGTAGAGCTAAATTTTACTAAACAGAACAGTTTTTGAATTTATGAGTTTTTTTTCTAATGTTTAGACAATATACTTCTTTCACAAATGAATAAATCAAACGGGATAAACCCACGACTTTCAGGATTTGCTTCACCACCTAATATCATAGACTTAACATGAATGTTAATATGTAATACCTGTTCAAAAAATGTATACAAGATGCTCATTCAGGAACTCATATTCATTTCGGAGTATCGGAGTTTTGAAAATGTGAAAACTTAACTGCTTACGCCCTTTTTCCTCATTGAATTCTATGGTGGATAATAACGACAGTTTGCAATAGCATCCATATATCTAAAATAAATAGTTTTTGCAGACAATTGCAGTCGTTGTAACATTCCTTTTCCGTTGGTTAAGAATACATAGGTACTCTCAAAAAAACAATTTTGTGGGTCAAAAAATAAGACACAAATGCATTGTCATACTGGTCAACATATTAACAAAACAGGGCGCTGTAGACAGCTCATTAAAGCGATTCAAAAAATTATGAAAATAGTTTTTTCTACTGGCGAGGAAGTATTGAAGTACGACGCCTTTGGGACCGAGTACTCCAATTTGCGAGTCACGTAGTAATAACTAATAATCATTTCAATAAGTGTTGATATCTACACTACCTTTAAATGTTGTTAGCACGTAAACGGGTTACGATAAAGTTTTGTTTACACCGTTTAAGGGTAATGTGCGAACAGCGAAAAACGCGAATATGAATAGATAAAAAGCACGTGTTGATTGGAGGCATCGCAGAAGATTTATTATGGGAAATTAAATCTATAAATTTATTTTCTATACATTTTTGTCTGATTTATTTCGGTTCACCAGACTTTTTAAAACACATGCGTGCGAGATCGTGATTTTGGTAAGAAAACTCCACTAGTGGAATCGCACCTGTTGTTTCCCGCCTCTCTTATATGATATCGATCATAAACTGACTCATTGTGTGCATATAGGACAACGAGTTGATTCACATACTTATTTTTGACACCATGCATTACGCTAATAAACGGAAAGCAAAAAGTAGGTGTGCGTTTAATTTTTGGCGGAATTTGGCGTCCAGTGAATGAGTCATTTTCACGCCAGCATATTTTCATAAAACGTATTGTTTTCGAAGGGAAACCTAATTTGGGTAGTACGGCGCTGGAACCTAGACTCACAGGAGTAGCTTAATTATAAATCCATCAGGATATTGTGATTACGGCCGATGTGATAATTGGTAATGAAATTAGGAAATCAATCAATAGTTTCCCGTTTTTGCTTTAAGGTCTAGTCCCATAATCGCGAGCTGTCTAATTACAATATACAGGGTCCTGCAAGCTGCAACAGTGCGTCGGTCTTTCCTAGCTCATACCTGGTAAAAAATATAAAAACTTTCTTTTGTGCAAATTCAACTGTAGATAGTTGCGCATCTATACCTAAGTAAAATTTCCGAATTTCAAACTGCCATAACTATTTCTTTTCAAATAGAACTATCACCATTTTATTTCGCTATTCGATAGTCTTTTCTGTTTTCATTAATTTTTATAAGGGCCGTCCTGTGTCTACTACGAGCCCTAACAACTAATTGTTGGGACAAGCCATTTAATGTTTCGTTTAGAAATATTTAATTGGAGCGGCAACGCTTATTAAAATTATTAAACAAAAAAATGAAAGTTTTAATATTGAACTATGTATTACATGCAACAAGAAAGGTAATACAATATACAAGTAGTTATAATAAAAAAAATGACAAAGGTCATGAACAATTGTTGACAACTATATGTTGGGACAAAACCAAGGATGTTTAGTTCAATACGGTGTTACATCTCCTTTCGCCTTTACAACCGCTGCTATTCTGGCAGGCATAGTTGCTGCTAATGTTTTACAAAACTCAGGTGTAAATTTAGTCCACATATCTGCCAGTTTTAACTTTAAATCTGGAACTGTTCTTTGAGGATTGTTTCGTAACTGCTGCTTCATCTTATGCCAAAGGGTTTCAATAGTATTTAGGTCTGGACTACTAGAAGGCCATGACAAAACTGTGATCCCATTCTCAGAGAGCCATTTTTGAGTTGATTTGGCTGTATGACAAGAGGCTCCGTCTTGCTGGAAAACAAAATCTTCCTCGCCATACAGCTTCTCGATACTCGGAAGAAGCCTATTCTTTAATATGTTTTGGTATTTCTCTGCGTTTACAGTACCGTCGATAACCTCAAAGTATCCCAAACCTTTCGCCGACATACATCCCCATATCATAACCCCTTTTGGGAATTTCACGGTACGTTTAATGCAATCTGGGTGAAAAGCTTCATTTTTGGATCTGATTACCCGTTTTCGAAAATCCCCCACACATACATCGAATTTTGATTCATCGCTAAATATAATTTTTGACCAGTCGTCTACAGTCCATGATAGCTTAGATTTCGCCCATTGATATCTGTCTTCTGTTTTGTGGTAAGAAGTGGTTTTTCCTTAGCCTTTGTGTGATAAAACAATATTCTCAAAGAAAAGTTTGTTGAATTATTATGACATACCTTATAAAATTTTAGTCCAGATTTGTGTATCCATTGTCTGCAACATTCTCGCGAGAGTTTTAATCCTGACTCTTCGTTCCACTGTGCCGTAATGTCTCGTAACGTATTTCTTCGTCCTTTTTTGCACAATTTTATAAGAGATCGTTGATTTCTTGCTGACACTAGCTTAGGGCGACCTGAACTTTTACCCTTAACACAAATATATCCGTTTTCTCTATAGTGTTTTATCACGTTAAAGACCGTTGATTTTGCAATATTTAAAGCTTCGGCAACCTCACGAACGGTATTACCTTGGCAATACTGCTTTACAATGAGTGAACGTAGGTGCGAACTTGTCGCTGCACCGCGGACCATTTTTATGACAAACTATTATCAAAATAAAGCTATGGAATATGTAGTTGACAAATGACAAATATTATCATTGGTCCCAAAGCCCACTTAGTGAAATTAACTAGCTACTACTTATAAGTGTGGAACATCGTCCCAACATTTAGTTGTCAGAAGTTTATGTACAGAAATGAAATAATATCGTCCAAAATGCTAACAAATTGTGGAACTATTTCATTTATTCGCATTTATGGCAGTAACACAGATACATTTTTATATACTGCCAAAAACCGGATGAATAGGTGTGTAAACATAATTTTTTCTTAGCCATTAAACGAAATGAAATGCTTGTCCCAACATTTAGTTGTTAGGGCTCGTAAACCTCTAGTTTTTTGGTTATTCATTATATTTCACAAAGAAAAAGAACCCACCCATTAATTAAGTACATGTTATGCACCGGAGTAGGCTGTAACAATAAAAATACAAAAGAATGACCGAAAGTAAAACAAGTGTCGCAAATTAATTATTTACTGCCAGCATACTCCCTATTTCGTAATAAATAAGATTAATTAAAAAAAAACTGATTCACCTTTTTTTAAAATTCACGTTTCAATTAATTAAGGTCCTTTGTGAAAAATATTAAATAACCTAAAAAACTGCGAGGTTTAGACACAGACGGTCCTTATAAAATTAATGAAAACACAAAAGACTATCGAATAACGAATAGCGAAATAAAAAAATGGTTTCCATTTGAAAAGAAATAGTTATGGCACTTTGAAATTCGGAAAATTTTACCATTTCATGTGAACACCCTGTATCACTAAATCCAATTTTCTCATTAAATGTCTTTAGTTGTGCCAAGTTAAACTTTAGAAAAAAGGGGGGGGGGACGCATGTCCTACTTTTCATGGTATTCTAATGAAAGGTCTCATCCAAGTCAATATGGTTTGTACAAACTATAACTTTCCCGTGCGACTTTTTTTCGAGATCAGTGAGCGACGGGGCCGGCAGGAACCGTTTTCTACCAACTATATTGCCCTTCTTTCTGTCCTCTTATCAAAGTACGTGGCGGAGGGAGGGGGGGAGGGAATGGAACTACTTTTATCCTTCATGATACTCGAATGAAAGGTCTCATCGAAAGGAATTAATATCTACCAACCATATCCCTCCTCCTCGACATCTTATCGTTATCGGGTATATTCCCTTATATCTCAAGAACGGATTGTCGGAAGAGGGTACTCACAAAGGCGATTGAGACGTCTGCAAGAAATATATCCATTGGTGATGTCAAAAGAAAAGCTATTTTGGTTTAAAAAAATGCACAAGAGTTTTGTTGTTGTTTTTGTTATTCAGAATCAGTTAGCTATTAAGAAGAGATATCAGAAATTTCCGGTTAGCCACGTAGTTATTTCTTTTTGCCTGTAATGTAATGATTTATTTAATGAATATAATTAAGTCAAATTTAAATCGAGAATTGATTCCTCCAGCTTAAGCAGAGATATGTGCAAGTGCAAGCAAGGGGCCTATTTTTCATTGTTTAAATATACTCTAAACTTTAAAGTACATTTAAACAATGAACTAAACATTTATTTGTTCACCGAACAGTTGAATAAGTGAGTAGGAATATATCGCTTTTAATTAAACGTCAAGGCATCAGGAATTCGATCTATTTATTCTCATACAAATTACCAACAGAATTGAAAAATTCGAAACCGTTCGCGAGTTATCATGTACACAAGTGGACGGAGTTACAATCAACATGTACACAGAGGGACGGACATAATGTCCCAATGACCAAAATTCAGTTTGTCAGTTAGGCCTTTGACCATAGTCTACCATTACTAAAAACAGAATGAGAAAATTCGAAATCGTTTGCAAGTTACTATGTACACAGACGGACGGACGGACAGAAAATCAAAAATCACGAACTCGCTTTTTGTCGCTCGTTAAAGTATAAAGAGATTTGTTTAACGTCTGTTTTAAAGTTATAACGTTACAGTGTTATTAAGAATGCGGTCATCCGATAAAGGAACCAGTATTCGAACTTTTGTTACGTAAAAACCGAGAAAGCGTCAACTTTATAGACAATAAAAAAACAAAACCAATAAATTGTAATTGTTTTGCAACAACTAGGGGCTATAAATTAGATACAATAATTAAATATGTACACCTTCAGTTAAATTTTATGGACATTGCAACAATTTTTTACTTAATTTATTAACCCAAAAAGTGTTCTACTACCTAATTCGTACCTGTAAATGTCTCCGCCTTTCCTCATCGTTGTCCATATCTAGAAGTTCATCTATATCTACTTCTACTTCATCGTTTACATCGCCTACCGTTTGCTGAAACAAAGAGAACACTAATTACTTATGGTGTTCACAATATCATTAAACACACAGCAGGCAGGTACGCAAATTAAGATTAATTAAATAACGCTTTACGCGGCGTGTAATACGGAATCACTTCCCCTTTTAGTTAATAACGTGAAGTTCACAATTAGAGTTTAAACAATAGGTTTTGTTGAACAAAATGGGCTCATAATAGAAACTACATGTTCTTTTTTAGTTATTAGCTTCTGTCTGATGTTCTCATCATTTCTTTTTCTTTAATTTAATTACTTTATCAGGTGGAATCTAATATTCGTTTGTTATAGCCGCAAGAAATTAATGATAATTACAGGGCAGGTAAACTACGAGTAGCTGTCGTACTGAAATGTCATGTGTTTGATATGTTTCTTTTTTTAGTGTGTCAATGAAGTGATAAAACAAATGAAAGGCTAAACAAGATGTGGGTCGGTGTTGGGTGTCCCTCAGGGATCCCATTTAAAGCCTTTACGTTTAAGATTGTAATGAAATTGACTGGTCTGGGGTAGTTAAATTTCTAAACATATTCGCATTCGGTTATAAATTATCACGTAACGACGTCGTGTGTAATACGAGTATGTAAGTTTATAATTGTTAATTACAAGGAATCCCAATTAAGTAACACTCGTGCATAAATCGCCTTGCAAGATTTTCGGTAGATAAACAAAAGTTGGTACAGTAAATAACGTTGATTAAAACACAAATGTAGCGAGCGTATCTCTCAGACCCACCACATTAACAGGTTAATTACAATGACTAACTACCATGTGTAATATATGGACGCAGAAGTTCAACAAACCATCAGAAGCTCTAGTTTACAGCGTCCTTGAACCAACTCAGATTTTCATTTTACTATGCCTTCGTTTCACATGGAATGGAGATTCATGCAAAGTTTAGTAACTGTATTGTTACTCATCGACGATTATATTGTTTTTGCGCTTTTAATTCGTTTCCCGGCTTTATTTACATAAGATTTTTATCTGAAAAGGTCAACGCCATTAAATACACACGGGGCTAATTGTAATACTACATGTTAATGAGTAATACTAATCTTTTTTAGAGTCAAACCTGTTCGCGTTTCTTAATTGGGGCGGAATTTAATTATAAACGCTTTGTTCCAAGATGACTAAACCAATAAGTACGTGGGTGACTAAATCTTCTCACGGGCAAAATGTAAAGAAATACCTGTTGAGTGAGAAACTGTAGAACGGCATTCACATATGACGCATCCAATCTTTTACAACTCAACGAGTAAAAACGGAAGAAAAACAATGGATTATGAATATTATCTTTACATCGCACATGAATAATTTCAGAAATTTCTGAATTGACTTTTTTTACTTCGTTCATGCTTTACGATATTTTCAATGACAAACACTTCTTTCAACTTGGAATACCATTAAAGACCGAGAGCCATCTGTAATCCAACATAATTAAAACAAAACTCTAATCAGAACTCAAAATTTGTATAAACATTTTTGAATGGTTCTCCTTGGCATTTGAACTACCTATTAAAAATCCTCTTAACGTTTTAATTATCTATTGTAAAGTTTACCACAATTTTCGATTACGGAAAAGGTTCAGATTGATTGAGGGACCCTCCAGAACAGCCAAAATTCTCACAACAATCAATGCGGATTTTTAATATTGTTTTGGTGCCGCGTTACCACAAGAATTCCGGTCCCAGTGAAGTGCGACAATTTTGAAGTGAGTTAAAGTGCCCAAAATAGCAAGTATGGGCGTATTGCGATGGAGTAGCTGACCACGGAGCAGTTCGATTTCGCAAAAGCCATGAAGAGGTCTTATCTAACCTGAAGAAAGAAGTCCAATGAAGATCAACCTGTTGCAAGATGGAGAAGAGTTAAATAACCTCAAGACACTCAATCCTTTCCTCGATGCAACGGAACTATTAAGAGCAGGGGGTAGATTAACGAATGCAGCCTGCGCGTCGACAGAAGAGAAACACCCTTTTATCATTCCTCCAAGAAGTCATTTGTTCACATTAATCGTAAAGGATGTCCATGCCAGAACCCTACGGTTAACAAAAAATCGGGCCCGTCGGAGCTCAGAAACTACATACGCTATTTGAGATTCAACCACAGGACGGCGCAACAATAGGGAATCTCCTACCGACACTGGAGTCTGGACTACACAGGACACACATGGGAGGGTTTTGGGAAACGGCGGTTAATTCCATCAACATTTGATCTTCTGCAATGATTTTTAGCGGAACTATTTTAAAGACTTATCAGGATTTAGAACTATCGATGACCTTTTCACAACTCTAAAAAAATTCAATTTTGACGCGATGGGGAGGGGGGGGGGAGGCTGCGTCAAGCGGGCCATGTTTTCAGAATGAATTCATCCATTCACAAAACGACAAAGTGACGCTGACCAGAATGCGTCAAGACACTGTGGAGGAGTGTCGGATAAGAACCAGCGGAGAATGAGAAACACCGGTTACTTTTGTCACAGGTAAGTATCATTACAAAATTCATAGTCCACCGGCAAGAGAAGTTGTAGAAGGAGAATGAAAATGTGCTTTGCATAATTATAAAAGGGCGATACAAAATCAAATTAAGCCAGCCCCTTACTACAAAGACCTACTTTGAGAAAGTTTATAAATAAAACATGAAATAAGAAAACGTATAGAATTTCATTATGGTTATACGAGGAAAGTTTGACGCTATCAGGCTAAAATTAGAAGGTTTGTCTTACAAAATTTGTGAATGACGACGATCTCTGCGGTAATTTTAAGCGTACCTGAATTTAAAATGCGATTTTGTTTATGGTGGGTAAAATTACATCCGACAGTTACCAAAGAACAGTAATCACTTAAATTGTCACATCGAATTCTTTTTTTTTGTATTCCTTACATTTTATACCAAATCGAATCTTGCTGTAATTCAATTTATTTGATTCTTCGTTGACCCTTTTTTTTTCAAATAAGGGAATTCCAGACAGTTCCGTAAAAAATCGCGGACCAAGTCAACACAAATAATAAACAGAATGCCCGTGTAAAGTTTATTGGTTTAAAGGTAGGTACTGCATCACAATTATCCACGATGAAAGCGAGTTGGAAGGTAAAGTCTCGGTTGGATCAATACTGGGTTCCGTTGTGAAGCTGTAGAAAGTGTTGTTTGTTTCAGTCCTACACTAATGCTTTTCTAACTATTGTGGCTTTTGAATCGAACCATACGACCAAAACGATTCATTAAGACATGAAAAATTAAATTTTCGAAAGTAGATTCATTTACGATACAACAGCTTTCATCAAAATGTTGGCATTGTGCTATTTTTCAAGTCTGCTAAAAATAAAAGCTCTATAATAATACATACAAGACTTTTCTTTCAAAACGAACCACCGATTGTAATGAGTACTTTTAATAAAAAATCAAGAATTTTAACACACGTCCATTTAGATAGCTAGGGGAAGTGTTAATGGAAGGTGTCTGAGATAGATACAATTATATGAGTAGTTTGTACCCTGTGTTACTGAATAAAGTGACAAAAATTAAACTGTTTCAAACCAATCCAGATAACGAGCCACAATTCACAAACACAGACGGACGGACAGAAAGTGCACATGAGTAAAATCTAATCAGTTAACCCCTTGACCATTATCTACCTATTACGGAAAACAGGATTGGAAAATTCAAAACCGTTCGCGAGTTATCATGTACACAGACGGACGGACAGAAGGTCCAATGGACGAGTATTGACGAAAATTTAGTCAGTTTGTCCCTTCACCATTGTTTACCTATTGCTCTAAACAAAATTGGAAAATTCGAAACCGTTCGCGAGTTTATCTCATGTACACAGACGGACGGACAGAAAGTTCAAAATCATGACGTGCGTTAATACATGAGGACGTCAAGCAAGCCGAGAAAACCTGAGACCTACCATATGAAATAAGAGTTTGGAAAGTTTAACAACCGAGGTAGAAATTTGAGACGTCATGAATCCGACCCTGAAAATTAATGAAGCTGAAGAAACTGGAGATTTATTGAGAAAAATATTCCCAGCAGCGCTGATGCACCAACTAAAGGAAACAAAATAGATTTACAATATGAACGGCTGTAGTTATCGTAGAAACAGAAGAAAACCAAGGGAAGAAAACGCCAAAAAAGTTCGGACTGGCCGAAGAAGAGGCGAGGAATGCCGAGGAAGGTAACAAAGTTAGAAAACAAAGGAAGACAAGTGAAAACCTTCTAAAAGCAAAAGACCGAAGGAATCTAGAGGTCGTACTGTTACGAAATGGAGGTGAACATAATGAAACGGTGCTGAGGTAGTCGAACAAATAAAAGAAACCAAAAGTATTAAAAACGTCAACAAAGCCGAGCTAATGTAAAAGCTCGAAAAGTCATAAGTAATAAAAAACCGAAGCAACCAAAAGAAACGAACAAAATTCTCGAGGTGATGAAAAACAGAAGAAGCTAAAAAAGAACAAAAAAACAAGGAAATCGAAGCAGACTGACAAGCATCCAAAAAATTCGTAGGAGCATAGTAAAGCAAAGAAGTTTGTGAAAAAATTATACTCGTGTGAGATCGAAGAGACTTCTGCGCATTTTTGTGTGGCAGATCAGTATTCTATTAGCCAGTTTTGACTCGACCATCCATATGATCTTGTCGAGGGCTACCACATTGTCTTTGTGGGTACCCACTTCCGACGTCCCGTTCATCCGCAATTCGCATTTTGGTGGATTTCGCTAAAAACCCTCCACAAAATAGTACCATTGAATAAGTAATTACTCACCTCTCACAGGTCGAGCTTCTATTGGCGACGCGAGAAAGAGAAACCGCGATTGGAGCGCCCCAAAGCCGACGTGCGCTTTACAAAAGGTGGTCAAAAAAAAGAAAATCACCACGTATGTATAACACGCTCGTAGATGGCGCCCAGATGTCGCCGACCCCTTCCCTAAAGTTGTTCATTACACGGCCCCAGTAGGTACATGTACACTCCTCGTTTTTCTGCAAGC